AAATAAAAACACAAGGACTGGGGTCATAGCTTAAGTAATAGAGTGCTTGCTTAACATGTGCAAGGCTCTGGGTTCAACCCCCAGCACTGCAAAAAAAGGGAAGGAGGGTTTATCAGGGTAGACACCTTACTTGGTACTCTGACCATAAATCCATTTGCAAAGGTAAAATGAATTAGAGTAATAGGACCCCATAATAAAAATGTTTCCGTAAGTATTTCTAAAGCTATGGTTCTCAGCCTGAGTGCACATTCAAGCTCCCTGTCAACTTAAAATATCCATGCTTAGGCCTTACATCCAAGGGATTCAGATTTACTTGCTTTTTGATCTAGTCCAAGCATGAATATTATTTAAAAGTTTGTCAGGTCATTACATGAGCAGCCAGAGTTTGGAACCATTACTCTAGATTTAAGATTTCTGATGCCATATTGGCTGTATGATTATCTTCAGGATGAATACCCAGCTTCTCTCTGACACCTACAAGGAACTGGACCACCAATCAGGAACAGTTATAACTGAGGTGGACATGCAATTCAGTTGATCTGATAGACTATGGAGAACAAACCAATTAAATGTTACCTACATGGACAGTATAGAATAATGTGTATACTATATAGTGTATGCGTTCTATGCATAAGTCTTTGGTGTGTGTGTGTGTGTGTGTGTGTTTATATACATAAAGATGTCTTCTTTCATAATATCCCCTATAAGAACAAAAGTTGTTTGTCCAACTGCTTGCTAGACTTGTCCTCTTGGATATCTAGGAGGCAATTCTGACATGAACTATTGCTTTTTTTTCTCCAAACCTTCCATTTCCCCCTTCTCAACAAACGACAACACCCCTACCTACTTCCTTAGTCTTCAAACTGAATTCTGTTTCCTTTCCTTTCCTCTAACCTATCCAAAATCAGGTCCTTTCTTCAGTACCAGTAAAAATGTCCCCAACTCTTGTATTCCTCTCCATCTCTACCACTACCTAGTTCACCAGATGTCTCTGTGACTTAACCATTCTCCCTTTCAATGAACTCTTATATCATATTCCCATTTTTCTAAGATCAATTCTCCAGCAGTCAAGGTATTTTCTCTGTTAGAAAATAATTTGCCATAAAATATTTAGAATATTCAAATGGCGTAAGACTGATAAACATGTCTTATCTTAGGAAATAAGACATTGCCAGTGTAATCAAAACCCCTGTGTTTCTTTTCCAATCTCTATTCCTCTCTTCTTCAACCTAAATTAGCCACTGTCCTCAACTGAATGTTTATCATTTCTCTTTGTGCTTTTACCATGTGTTGTACCACTAAGCCATACATAGGGATGTGTGTTAAAGCACTTTACATAAATAGCATCATACTACAAATATTCTCCTATAATTTGATGTTTCTGCTCAAGATTGTGTGTGAGCTTCGTTCATGTTCACAAAGTTAGTTCTACTTCATGTATTTTCTTTGAACTGATATTCTATTACATGAATAAATATGCCTTATTTTAAATATCTACTCCTCACATTTTTGGAAATCTAAAAACATACATTTGATTAAACATTATACTGGATGTGTTTTCCTCCCCAGTGTGGATGGGTCTTATCCAATCAAAAAAATAAATAAAAAAGCTTGAATAGAACAAAACAGTATGAATAAGAAAAAACTGCTCCTGTCCACCTTCCCTGGTCAGTGTTTTCCTTCCTTTGAACCTGAATTAAACACTGGTTCTTCTTGAATCTCAAGACTGCTGCTATGTGGCCTCTTCATCACTTTTTGGGCCTCCAGTTTGCTAACTGCAGATCTGGGGACTTGCTGGTTCCTGTAATCATGTGAACCAGCTAGTGTTAAGTCTTTTATAATTTTGAATTATTCCTAAATTTCTAGAAGAAACTCCAGTTGGTATAATGCATTATTCTTTTACCTATTACTAGTGCTCGTTAGATTTTTGCATCTATGATTTTCTGTAATGTAGGGCTTTAATTTCCCTTTATCACATTATTCTTTTCTGATTTTGACATTATGACTAAACTCTCCTCTTAAAAGTGAGTTGGGAAGCTCCTCCTTTTTCCTATTCTTTTTTTTTTTTCCAGTTCTAATGGGAGAGGACTTCTTTCAAGGTTTAGTAAATGTACTTCTAAATCAATATTGGTCTGATATCTACTCTCCTCCACACATATCAAGGTGGTGAATAGATAATTTCTTTAGTGATTATTGGCTTATTTTGTTTTCTATATCTTCTGGAATTAATTTTCTCAATTTACATTTTAATAGAAATAGTGAGCTTAATCATAATTTCCTAACATATTAGTATAAACTTATACATAATTTTCTAGTTTGTTTTAATATTTTCCTTTTAGTAGCCAATTTTCCCCCTTTTCAAACATATTATTTTTCTGTTAGCCTCTTAGTCACTCTTTTCTCTTTTGATGGATTTTGCCAGACTTTTCCCCATTGTATCACTTTTTTATGTCTGTGTGTTTGCAAAGTTGATTTTATTCAACTTTTCATTAAAATTTTTTCACTATTGATTTTTATAGTCTTATCCTTCCTTTTGCACTGGTTTTATTGATTGATACAGGTGAAATGGGAATGTAATAGAAGGGTAACCTTTATACACAATTGGCAGAAACATAGGTTCGTGCAGTCACTATGGAAATCAGCAGGGGGGGCGTTCCTCAAAAATAGAACTATTTGCTATACCACTCCTGGTATATGACCTACAGGATAAAAGCCAGCTTATTTAGAGATCCCTGCACAAACATATTTATTGTGGCACCAGTCAACCAAGGTGTGCATCAACAATGAGTGAATGAAGACAATGTAGCATGTATATACAATGGAGTTTTATTCAGTCATATAGAATAATGAATCCTTTCATTTGCAGGAAAATGAATGGAAATGGAGATCATCATATTAGGTAAAGTCAAACTCAAAAAGACAGATATTGCATGCTTTCTCTCAAATGTGGAATTTAGAGAGGAAAAGAGGACATGAAAGCAGAAGAGGGACTACTAAGAATATGGAGAAGGATGGGAAGGTATAAGGAGTGGATAAGAGAGGGTAATGGGGGTAAATGTGGTCAAATTACATTATATGCATACATTAAAATGCCACAGTGAAACCCATGACTTAGTATAGTTAAATACCCTAATAAAAAAATAGAAGGGGGATCTCCAAGTGTGCTTACAAAGTATGACTTCAATTATGAACTCATAATGCTAACTTGCTCAAATGTCACATATAAAATAAAATTAAAGTCTTTTTATTTTCATTTTTGATGAACAGAAAAATTTGGGGTATATAAAACCCTTAACATGAGTTCCTATATGATTGCAGAACTTAGAATATCACAATCATACTCACAGTCTTCTGTGTCATATTTGAAGTGTATTTTATTCTACTTATTCCTCCTTGGTTGAAAAGCAGCTAAGGCAGATTCAAAATGAGTTGGATAATAAGGAAATGTCATTATTCCAAGAAGGTGTCATGACTCATGATGAAGCTCTTGGCAACATTTCTCTAAAGACATCTGAAGAAATATGAAGCATACTAGTGAAGTCTGAACAAATCATCTTCAACTCACATTTTTTTCAATAGCTTAGGAACATTCTATAGTCTGGTAATAAGCTAATTTCAATATAAGTAGAAACACCAAGACCAGGTACTATTACTGGAGGGTCATGTCATAATCACTGCATATTTTCAAAGTCAAACAATAGCACCATTCCTGGGGATTCTTTCCTTCCTTCCTCCCTTCCTCCCTCCCCACCTCCCTCCCTCTCTCCCTCCCTCCCTCCTTCCTTCCTTCTCTCCTTCCTTCCTAGAAGTCAAAGGCTGCCTTCAAACTCCTGAACTTAAGCAATCCTCCTACCTTGGCCTTCTCAGTGCTAGGATTACAGATGTGTTCCACCATGCCTGGCTACTATGACCTAGTCCTAATTTTTAAAGTCCTTAAAAAAGAGAAAATCAGTTGTGAAATTCCAACCTTTCAGGATACATATATGTTAGAATGATAAGTGTGGAGATATCTGAATTATAAGGAAAACTCTGAGAGAACACACTCAGAAACATACACCATCAAGATAAAGCACATTTCTTAAAAAATACAATGAATGTGCATTTCTTCTTAGAAGAACTCAATGGAAATATAACCCACTTTGTGATTACAGATTCCGAAATGTTGTTTATTGGATGGGATTGAGAACATTAACTCCTTTATAGGAGATTTTCCTGATTTCATTGGCATGCACCACTTTTTATTTCCTCCTAGATGTTTGGTTTTATCTTTTTCCCTTTTGTGGTATTAAACAATATAGTATAGTACGGATAAAGTGTATTTTAATTAGAAGTAAAGACATGAATCAAATCTTTCAAAATATTTAGATCCATACATCACACACACACACACACACACACACACACACCATTTTTGTGTTAACATCTTATCTCTGTATGACATAATTTTTATTTATACAATGATTTCAACATGACTTCATGGATCTTCATGTAAAATACAATTGCCTAGTTATTAAATAAAACAATTATGAAAACAACAGAGAAAATGTCAATGAATTCTTATGTTCAGAGAAGTTTATTAGTAAGCAGAGAAGCAACAGAATATAAGAAACACTGGCTTGGAGAAGAGACAGGACATAGCTGGCCCCCCAGGTCTGAGATGTAGAATCAGTGCCAGTACAGGGGCTGTGGTCAATACCTAAGTTGTTGGGAAGAAAAATCTAGAGCTCCTAAGTGATGAGAAAAATTAATTTGGAGCTTTTGGATAATTTCGTAGTTGTTGGATTGCAAATTGATTCATATTTGGTGGTAACATTGGAAGGAAACCATAGCAAAGGGGAGAGTTTAAAAGGAATCAGAATGTGCTCAGAGTCCAGAGGATGGTGGTGGGCTCACTGGAATCATGAGGTCCATCCTGTTAAATGACATCAACCAGACTCCAAGTATCCGAATGGTCAGCCCATCTGAAAAGTCTACATCTGTGGGGACAGAAGAGAAGGGGATCAGCAGCAAGGAATGGCACAGCACATGGGGCGGGGGCAGGTGGAGATGACACAGGTTGGGCGATAGCAACTGGTGTGGCAGGAAACGCGACCACACACTGGGCGCAGGCAGCAGCTGGGGCGGCAGCAGCTGGAGCCACAGCAGCTGGAATCACCACAGCAGGGCTGGCAGCAGCTGGAGATGCAACAGCTGGGGCGGCAGCAGGGCTGGCCACACACAGACTGGCAGCAGGGGCGGCAGCAGGGTTGGCAGCAGCTGGACACACAGCAGCTGGGGCGGCAGCAGCTGGGCTGGGAACAGCAAGGCCTGCAGCAGCTAGAAATGCAGCAGCTGGGGTGGCAGCAGCTGGAGGTGCAGCAACTGGGGCGGCAGCCACACAGGCGCCAGGAGGGCTGGCAGCACACAGACTGGCAGCAAGGCTTGCAGCAGCTAGACACACAGCAGCTGGGGCGGCAGCAGGGCTGGCAGCAGCTGGACACACAGCAGCTGGGGCGACAGCAGGTGGTCCTGCAGCAGCTGGTCACACAGCAGCTGGGGCGGCAGCAGGGCTGGCAGCAGCTGGACACACAGCAGCTGGGGCGACAGCAGGTGGAGCCACAACAGGAAATAACCATGGTGTCAGAAGATGGAGGTTCTCGGTGGGTTTCCAGGAGAGTGAATATCTTGAGTTTAGAAGTCTTCCTGGCCCATCCCCCCCCTTTTATACTCTGCTGAAGCCCTCTTGTGACCATGTCATTATTTCCTTGTTATTATTTACCTTCTTGGAAAGCTTAATCACTTAATTATATAATTGTGTGTTTCTAATGAAATATTCCAAAAAAAAAAAAAAGAGAGAGAGAGAGAAAACAAGACATTTCCTTTTCCTGGTGTGCTCCATTTTCAATTGAAACATTTGTCACCTTTCTTTGTTAATGTATGTTATCTTTGTCCCTAACCTATTACAAAGCATTTGTCACACCAGTGTCTGGCATTTGTTTGTTTTACCAGTGTATTTATTTTGTATTTTTATTAGCATGCATTAGTTGTACAAAGAAGTTTCATTGTGGTATTTCCATACATATGTATAATCTACCCTGATCAAATTCAGTCCCTCTGTCTTTCCCTCTCACATCCCCTCCTTTCTCATAATTCAAACAGACAAGTTTCCTCCTGTCTATACACTGCTCCTTATAAGTCACGGAGCATGATTTTCACAAGTGTTAATGTATCTTTTGATATCAAAGAATATTCCATTTAGGTAAAATGTTGGTAAAGAATTAGAAGGAAAGATCCATTTGGGGGAAGATGTCCCATCTGTCCTGAGCATGACTGGGATCCTTCGTGGGCCTCTTGGATGGTCAGGGAAATGATCAGACCCAAGAAAATTCTAAACGTTGTCAGATCTCATTCCAGAGTCTCAGGTCTGGCAAAGACATACTGATTTGAAATAATAAAAACACATTTTTCTCTATATGTCTTCCAGAATAGCCATTAAGAGTGGGGAGTTTTGCTTTATCTTTTCTTTTTGAGACAGTCTTGCTATGTTGTCCAGACTGGCCTTGAACTCATGATTCACCTGTGTGTGCTTTGCGAGTGCTGGGATTACAATTGTGCATCAACATGCCCAGCTTTTGATTTATCTTTTGATTGTCAAAATTGCACAGTGGATTTTCATGCATAAAAGCATTTGTTATATATGAACAATATGGAGACTTGTTAAGCCTTCAATAATAAGTACCCAAGACTTTCTATTGGAGACTATAGAGATAGAACATCTCTTTTCTGAAGGTGCTTGAATAAGACACGTGCATAGGAAACAATTTGGCAAGAATTAAAGAATCACAATTACTTTAATTAAACAATTAAACTAAAAGTATACAGTATGTGAGTAAGTTCCATGCATCTCTCCAGTGTATCACTTTTGAAATGTTCACTATGTATCAAACATTGTTTTGAATATCTTGTAATTAATTTGTTTTCAATGCAATCCTGTGAAGTAGTGTATATTCTTATTCTATTAGTGGAAGAATTGAAAGAAACACAGAGAGATTAAAACAAGAAACAAATCAAAGTGTCCAAGATTAAGCTAAAATAAATTTAATATGTCTCTGGATTGTCAAGGAAAGGTTGAAGAATAAAACTTGTAAGCTTTTGCTGAGGGCTGATTCATGTTCCTGGAATGTTTCTTCTTATCAGCTCTGCAAACTCTCACTCATCTGTGAAGACCCAGTTGAAATGTTTCCTCTTCAATGATATCGTTCCTGGTAAACATCCCCATTTATATATTATTATTGACTGAATTGTGCTCTAATTTAATACTCTACCGTATCATGAGTATTGACTTCTGTAATTCCCACAAGTACAATTCAAATACCCTGAAGGCATAGGCTATGATATTTATTTTTGTTACTAAGGTGCTGGGCACAGGGCAAGAATAGTGGACATTGGTGATAAGTGTTTGTTGAGTGAATGAAGGCATGGGGGCATGTAATGGTCCTTTAAAAAAGTATGTCTTTTGACTGGAAGAAAAAGACGAAGCATTCCAAACAAATGAATCACAGTTTCATGTGAGGAAAAAAAAACAACATTTACTTATGTACTTATTTAAGTATTTACATTACTTATGTGGTAATATGTCATCTGAGAAAAGTTGTAGAAGACATGATTTATACAATTAGACTTATTTATAGATAGCCATGAATACTGTTTTTAAGTTGCATTCCTACATTCATGCAGAAAAAAGATAGGAAGGAGGTAGACATCAAATAGCAACACTTGTTCTTCTTCACCTCCATACTTCCCAGTTTTACTCTTATTGCCAGGGAAAAATCACCATTGCCAGTTTGGTACAATCAGTCAAAAATATCTGCTGAAAACCTATTACTGTAATTTGAATTTTACATAATGCAGAATCTGAGACAAAGACTTGGGTTTTGTTTATTTGTTTAGTTTACTTGAGATGTGATCCCAGGAGGCACAATTGAGGAACTGAGGAAAGCAAGACAGCAGAGGAAGGAAAACCCAAACGTTTCTGTTAATGATGGGGTTACCACCGTGGGGAATAGAACAAACTATGGGGAAATGCCTGAGTCTGAAAGCACTTGGCTGCTATGATTTTATGCTTAGAATATCCTAGAAAACCAACTGAGTTTTGGTATTAACCATGAGATCAATAAAATATGACTTGTAAAAACAGATTTCTTATACATGAGCAAAAATCATCCATAAAATTTAATGGGAAAATGTACTCATCATTCTTACCATAAATATAAAAATATATAGTAAGTCTGCCAGTGATACACTTGGCCTGGGTGTGGGAAGTAGTAGCAATTCCTGGAGGATGTCAAATGATATTTGCATAAATGTCAGAACAAGAAATGTATGAAAAAAGCCTTATTGTGAATAAATGCCTACATGGGATAAAATGCATTTAATAAGGAAGTCTCTCACACCAATGGCTCTTGAATGACATTAACAAAGACCAATGAAAGGAAATTCACTTCCAATCTCAGCCTTTCACGTTGTTTAAAAATTTAGAGACCTATGTGTTCATATATAACCTATATCAAAATGCTGAGAAAATAATAAATGTGATTTATATAAAATAACAATGTTCTCTATAGATTCTGTTACATATGTGTTTTGGGTATTATGTTTATACTCCTATTTCTTTCATGGACTGAAAGATTGAATGTACATTCCAGCTGTCAAATTAGCTTTCATGAAGTTCAAATTGTTTTGGTATAAGTGGAAATCTCCAGGAACTAGACCCTGAGATAGAGATTGGCATGCTGAGAGGCTTTTGAGGCATGCTGTGGGGATTAACTCTTATAAAAGGGGAAGGAAGAAAACAGGATTGGACATTGGGAGAAATCAAATTGGGAGGCAGCATCAGTAGAGTTTCAGCTGGTCCTTCCATCAGAAGATGGAATGATATGTTAGAGACATATCTATTGGAGGAGAGCAATGCAGGTCTCTATCATTCTACCCTGGAAAGGTGACACAATCTTGAACAAAGAGAGGCACATTGTCCAGCAATACCAATGAGCTTTCACCAGGCCCTAATCTACCTAACCTGCCTGGCCCTCAAAGTGGCTGCACTATATGGCAGATGGACGCCCTACTGAAATGTCTAATTGAAGTAGATCCACTGTTTAAGTTGAGAAAATATTCATTGCACATGACTCTCAGTAGAAGTAAATACATTTTGCTAAACTGTCTTTTGACTGCTTTTATTGGCCCCAAACTCTAACAGGTGGTATTATAAAAGATCATGAATTATATTCAGTCTTTTCAAAATGTTTTCCCTGTGGTTATATTCATGGATACTCTGACTTTAGTTTCATTCTTTTTTTCTAAAGTCTCCAGAGTGAATAGTTAATTTTCTTAAAAATTTCTATAGAAAACTAGGCAGTGATCAATGTCATTGACTTCTCTTGGAAGGTTGACTAATTTGTGCTGTCTGTCCTGCAAGTATAAGCAAAATACAATCACCCAAGACCCAAATAGAAAACCTTTTAAAATATATAAAAACTATTCTAGGAGTTGAGGGAGGGAGGATAAAGAAGGTAGAGTGGGTGAATTCATGTATGATATATATATATATATTTTTTGTCTTTTCTTTTTTGGTGCTGGGATCACACCGAGGGCCTCGCGCATGCTAGGCAAGCGCTGTACCACCGAGCTACATCCCAGCCCAGTGTATGATATATTTGATACATTGTAAGAACCTGTGTAAATGTCACAATGTGCCCCCACCCAGCACAATAAAAAGGGGAAGAGAGAGAGAGAGAGAGAGAGAGAGAGAGAGAGAGAGAGAGAGAGAAACAATCGCATTCAATTTTCAATGCAAATTGAATTTTATTTTGGTACATGGAAATAACAAGATAGATGAAAATATTTGCAAAAGACCATACAAGAACATTTTATTGGATTTCAGTGTCAGAGGGATTAACAATCCATGGCCTTACAAGTGATGGAGATAATTTTCAAATTTTGTGAACATGATGAATGGATGTCCTAGTACCAAAGGGAGAGATATCAGGGGAAATTTGTTAAATTATTAGGAGTTCTCAATGAATTCAGTCAGATGGGAGGGAGTTTGGACAGAAGTCAGAATGTGGTCACAGAATTACTAGCAATGAGATTTGGTTTTGGGATCCAGGAGCTCAATTCCTTTGGGCATTATACATTTTTCAGAAGGAAGGTCCTCATCTGTAGGGAAAGAGGGTGTAAGGAAATGGTGCATTAAAAGGGAAGATTCAGCAGCAAGGAATGGCACAGCACATGGGGCGGGGGCAGGTGGAGATGACACAGGTTGGGCGATAGCAACTGGTGTGGCAGGAGACTTGGGCCACCCAGCGGGCCGCAGGCAGCAGCTGGGCGCCGGCAAGCAGCTGGAGCCACAGCAGCTGGAACTACCACAGCTGGGGCGGCAGCAGCTGGAGATGCAGCAACTGGGGCGGCAGCAGGGCTGGCAGCACACAGACTGGCAGCAAGGCCTGCAGCAGCTGGACACACAGCAGCTGGGGCGGCAGCAGCTGGAGATGCAGCAACTGGGGTGGCAGCAGGGCTGGCAGCACACAGACTGGCAGGAGGGTCTGCAGCAGCTGGACACACAGCAGCTGGGGCGGCAGCAGGTGGTCTTGCAGCAGGTCTGGCAGCAGCTGGGCTGGCAGCAGCTGGGCTGGCAGCAGCCTTGGCCACAGCCCTGCTCAGAGCAGATGGAGCCACAACAGGAGTTGACCATCGTGTCAGAGGATGGAGGTTTTGGATGGGTTTCCAAGAAGGTGAGTGTTCTGAGTTTGATTTCTCCTTGCTTTTTCTTGCTTTTATACCCTGCTGAAGACTACTAACCACATGAGGAATCTTGTTTATACTAACAGAAGAGCAGTTAGTTAATTAGTTAATTGTGTTTATCTGGTAAATATTCCTATATATAGAAAAGGAGCCATTTCCTTTTCCTGTTGTATTATGAGCTATCTAATTTGGTGAAGCCAAGTGAATCAGCTCCATTTTTCTTCCTTTGTCTAATATCCCCCCTAAAGCAGACCCATTAAATGACTTTGTGTCAATCGACTGAGTGTTAATTCTTTACTTATGGATTTACTTCCATGGTAATATGTTGAGAATAGTGTTTATGGTGACTAAATCTCCTCTGCTGTCAAATGGTTAAAAGCAAGTGATATGGAATACTGTTATGAGGATAGGATGGAAGACCTGTATTTGGGGAGTATGAGGAAGGTAATTCGTGTGCAGTGAGGAATACTATGAATTATTTGTATTATCTGGATGGTCAGTGAAGTGTGTAAAGGATCCCAATGCAGGTCCTATCTATTTTGTCCTATTGAATCTACTCAGTTTGAAACAGTTGTAATGCAATGATTCATAACTTTTAAATAGTAAAAGCACATTGGATGGTGAGTGCTTTAAGATGATGGGGGCAATGTAAATAATATGCAATATAAGCCTAATCAGAATTCTCACTACGAATCCCCCCATATAATGAATATATCCTAATAAAAATTTATAATAATTAAAAAATTATGAAATTATTGTTGACAAAAGAACATTTTGACCTACATTTTGGTAAGTCAACATACTCAATGAATATGTATAACTGAAGTGTTATTGAAAGTATATTTTTCCATGTGCAATGCATATTGGAGATATTTTCCTTGATATAAAGGAGAAATAAGGGTTTACATTTTATTTCTGTCACATAAACACTTAAGACAAATAAAGCAACTATTTAGAGAATTGTTTTATGAGTAAGCAAAGTAGCAATTATGCACTTAAATCAGTACATTCTCAGTGGAAGGTGAGAGGATTCTAGTAGTTACAATTTGTTGAGTGACTTCTGTGTATCAGGAACATTCTGAGTCCTCTGTAAATGCTATCTTGTTTACACTTTACAAGGACTCTACTAGTAGAAACAGTTTTCCTTAATTGTTTACACATGAAGTAATTGAGGTTCAGCTAGATTGCAGTCACACAGTCAGTAGGGAAGGTGGTTATCTCCTAGAATGTGAAGAATGACATCCTCATTCTCAAGCCTAGACTATTCCATTTGCCTAGAATATTATTTTCTTCTTTGCTAAGTTAGCAAACTCTCACTCATACTTAGATGTCCAATACTGATCAGTTCCAATATCTTTCCTGACATTTTCTACATTTAAAATTAATTCTTCCCTCCTCTTGGATCCAAGATATGCCTTGAGCCTAGGGTATCATGCTTTATCAATTTTTAAAAATCTCCTTTTTACATTCCTTTTGTTAAGCCCACATAATCTCCTGAAAATGCCTTATTCATATTTATTAACATGTACATAGCACCGAGAGAAGGTCAATGAGGGATTTATTGAAAATGAAGGCACTTACTCATCCTTTCAACATACCATAATAAATCTAGTTGGATGGAGAAGAAAAGAAAGTACATTTAGACAGTGAGCACACAGTTGGATGGGGCATGCTTTTGGTTTTTGATGGAGTAAATGGCCCGTCAGTAGTTTGTGTAGTAAAGAAAGATAATACTTAATCAATAAAATGGGGAGAATTTAATGATTTTTCTTGAACTTATGCTGAATCTTGTATTATCAGTCATTGGGAAGAAAAGTATGAGCAAGCATCCAGGCCAGGGTGAGAGAGTGACAGGAAGCAGAAAGCATGTTTAGGTGTACCCTAAAATTAAAACTTCTTACTCTTTAAAATACATTGTCTATGAGATGAATAGAAAAGCCACAATTTACAGAAAATACATATAGAACATATATCCAACAAAAAATGCATATATAGGACATATAAAGAACTCCTACTACTTAATATGATGATAAATGGCCTGACAAAAAAATGGGCAAAAGATTTAAAAATATACCCATCAAAGAAAAAGAGCAGATGTCAAATAAATCCATGAACCATGTCCAACATCATTACCAATTGGGAAAATGCCAAATAAATCACAATGTGACTGTTCACTCTCTACAATGGTTAAAATTGACAAGACTGGTCGTACCAAACATTGGCAATGATGTGAAGTCGTTAGGACTTTCATACAAGGTAGTAACATAAAATGGCTAAAACACTTTGTAAAACAGTTTGATATCTTCTTAAAGAGTGAGAGATACATCTTCCATATGATGTGGCTATTCTTTCCAAAGTATTTACCTAAGAGAAATAAAACCTTATGTCCACACAAAGACTTTTTCACAAGTGTTCACAATTACTTTATTGGTAATAGAAAAATCTGGAAACAACCCACAGTAAATTGATTAGAAAATTGTGCTATGTCCTTGACAAGAAATATTTCTCAGCAATAAAAAGGAATGAATGAACTATGATATACATGACAGTGTATATGAACCTTAAAATAATTACAATGAGTTAAAAATTCAAGCATTATGACTTGTATTGTGTATGATGCAATTTGTGTAAAATTCTAGAAAAGGCAAGAAATTGTTAGTGACAGCAGATCAGTAGTTTCCTGGGGGTGGGAGAATGGAGAGGAATTGCAAAGAGGTGATGCATATTTGTTATTTTGGAGATGGTGTTGAGTATATACATAGATCAAAGTTTTAAATTGTGTGCCTTGATTATGCAGTTTATTATAGGTTAATTGCACATTAATAAAGATTTTTAAAAGAAATACAAAGAAGAATGGAAGTATAAACCATAATAGGTTTTCAAAAAGTTAACATATAGAGAGTGGAAGGCATAGGGTAAAGAAGATGGAGAGATAGAAGCTAGCTTTCTTTGAATATATTTCTTTTACACCTTTGACTTTAATTTTTTCTTTTTATATTTCAACTTATGGTCTCAAATACCATTTTCCCTCATAAGGAATTGGAGAACCTAGGAAGAGAATACACAAATAAATCTGGAATATTTTCTTATATCAAAAACTAAGAAAAGCTCCAGAATCTACTAGATTCAAGTTAAAAGGACCCAGAAACCAACTTAAAGTTGCTTATTTGCATATCAATAGACATATAAGCTTGAATGGATTGATACACCATCAAATACATTGAAACCCACAAATTCACATTGACAAGAATTCTAAAAAAGAAAGAACAGAGGGATTCCAAGATGGCAGCTAGAGGGAGGAAGCAGAAAGCATGCCTCCTACAGTGAAATCTTGGAGAAATGCTGGAGACACACCTTGCAGGCAAGGTCACCAAGAAGAGGCAAAACGTTCACCCCTCCACACCTCCAGCCTGCACAGAGCATCTCTACTTCACGTTAAATGGAGAAACCAGGAGGGCCTCCAGGCCACGAGATGCCTGTGCCCAGCTGGCTTAGGAAGACAAGGACAAGGTGAGCTAAGCAGTACATGGTACTTCCACAGACAACCCTGGGCCAAATCAGCATAGCCCCCTGGACAGACCGCACCCCAGCTGGGGAAAAAAGAGAAATTGAGTAATAAGCAATAACAACAATAAAGACACGTGGCAAAGAGGGTGGGGCAACCTGAGCTCCGAAGAGTGGGGGAAGGGAATCCTTTCTGGAGCTGTAAATAAACAAGCCCGGCCTGGCTGGAGAGGATCCGGCAGGAGCAGGTGCGTGCCCAGCAACCAGGAGTGGGCAAGCTTGTGAGAGTGGCAGAGGGAGGAAAACTCCACAGGAGATGGGGGAAGACCCACCTCCCATGTGAGCTGTAAACAAACATGCTGGCCAGCAGGAGCAGCAGCACCACCCAGCAATCAGGAGCAGGAAAGCTTATAAAAGTGGTGGTGGGAGGAAAACCACAGGAGAGGGGGAAACCCACTTCCCACGTGAACTGTAAATAAATATGCAGGCCTGAGAAAGTGGGTGCAGTGTCACCTCCCCCAGTGTGCTTGGAAAGGGAAAGCTTGTAGCAGCGGCTCCTGCACAAGAGAACTCTGAGTAGACAAAGCCTGTGGGGCCAGGTGAGTGTTAAGCTCACTCCTGAGATCTACATAAATAATGCCACCAGCAACAGCAGGCTGACAGCAGCGGGCAGGCAAGCCACAGCCACAGATAGCCATTCACAGACCTGTCTCCAGACTTTTTTTTTTTTTTCTCTCTCTCTACCTTTGATGAGAAAACAACTGAACTACACCTGGATGCTGAAAAACTTACTGAAACTGTATTGCAATGGAACTTGGGACACTTGGTGGGCTTTTTTTTTTTGTGCATTTTTGTTCTACTTTGTGTCTCCCCTTTGATGAGACAACTACAGAACAAATCTGAGTCACCATCTCCAGGATTGGAGGCTGAGGAACGAACACCAAAATTATTAAGACTGAGATTTCATTGCATTTGAACATGGAGGTTCAAATTTTTTATTTTGTTTTATTTTATTTTATTTTATATATTTTTTTCTTTCATTTACTTATTTTTTATTTTTATTCTTATCTTTACTCTTTTTTTTTATTTTCAATCATTTCTCTGTCTCTAATGCCTTTTCAGCTTATGGTTGATTAGTACACTGTCTCTCCCTGTTTTTATCTTTGAAACATTTTTTGTTTGTTTCTTTGTTTTGCTTTTTTTCTACTTGATTATTTGTTTTTCCCTTTTCCTTTAACTTCTTTGCTTTACATCCCCTCTCACCCTTCCATTCTAAATATCACCATTGTTATTATTACAAGCCAGAAAATACTTAATTGCACACAGTACAGGGACAATAACAATATCAAGGGCAATGATGGGAAGACAGAAAAAATAGGGAAACCAGTTTCCCCACAGCAAAAAATTAGTACAGGAACCAGAGGGAAATGAAGAAAACAGATACTCAGATCCAGACTCCAACAAAATGAAGATAAACTATGCCAAAGGACCCAATGAAGCCCACAAGAATAATTTAAAAGAAGACATACTACAGGTACTCAATGAGAATTTTATAGAGATGATACTAGATATGGTCAACCAAAATGTACATGAGACACTCAAGTAATTCCAAGACAACAAAAATAGAGAATTTGAAAAAGCAAAAGAAGAAATAAAGGAAACCATAGAAGCAATGTATAAACACCAAAGTGAAACAGAGAACATGATTAATAAACAGATAAATGAACTCAGGACAAAAATAGACAACATTAAAGAGGAAACTACCCAGGATATGGAAAACCTCAGAAAAAAGAAAGAAACAGAATTGCAAAATGAAAAGGAAGGCCAATCCAGCAGAATAGAACAAAAGACAGAATCTCAGAACTCGAAGACGAAATGGTAATTAAAGGAAAAAACCAAAGAACTATTAATTAAACAACTCAAGACCTGTGAAAAGAAAATGCAAGAACTCACCGATTCAATCAAAAGACCAAACTTGAGAATCATGGGCACTGAAGAAGGAGAAGAGGTGCAAGCAAAGGGAATGTGTAATATATTCAACAAAATAATAACAGAAAATTTCCCAAATCTAGAGAAAGATATTCCCATACAGATGCAAGAGGCCTCTAGAACACCAAACAGACCAGATCAAATAGATCTACCCCATGACATATCATCATTAAAACAACAAGTTCAGAAACTAGGGAAAGAATATTGAAGGCTGTAAGAGAGAAAAAACAAATAACATACAAAGGTAAACCCATCAAAATCACAGCAGACTTCTCAACAGAAACATTAAAAACAAGAAGAGCATGGGATGAGATCTTCTGGGCACTGAATGAAAATAACTTCAACCCCAGGATGATACAGGAAAGAGTAGGAAATACTCTGGAGTTAATAGGTAGAGGTAACAACTTTCTCAATGGAACCCCGGCAGCACAGCAACTAAGAGATAGCATAGATAAATGGGACCTCATAAAACTAAAAAGCTTCTGTTCACCAAAAGAAATGGTCTCTAAACTGAAGAGAACACCCACAGAGTGGGAGAAAATATTTGCCAGCTACACGTCAGACAAAGGACTGATAACCAGAATATATAGGGAACTTAAAAAACTAAATTCTCCCAAAACTAATGAACCAATAAAGAAATGGGCAAGTGAACTAAACAGAACTTTCTCAAAAGAAGAAATTCAAATGGCCAAAAAACACATGAAAAAATGCTCACCATCTCTAGCAATAAAGGAAATGCAAATTAAAACCACACTAAGATTCCACCTCACCCCTGTTAGAATAGCCATCATTAGCAACACCACCAACAGGTGTTGGCGAGGATGCGGGGAAAAAGGAACCCTCTTACACTGTTGGTGGGAATGTAAACTAGTACAACCACTCTGGAAAAAAAATTGGAGGCTACTTAAAAAGCTAAACATTGATCTACCATTTGATCCAGCAATACCATTCTTGGGGATATACCCAAAAATTGTGACACAGGTTACTCCAAAGGCACCTGCACACCCATGTTTATTGCGGCACTATTCATAATAGCCAAGTTATGGAAACAGCCAAGATGCCCCACTACTGATGAATGGATCAAGAAAATGTGGTATCTATACACAATGGAATTTTATGCAGCCATGAAGAAAAATGAAATGTTATCATTTGCTGGTAAATGGATGGAATTGGAGAACATCATTCTGAGTGAGGTTTTCCTGGCCTAAAAGACCAAAAATCGTATGTTCTCCCTCATATGCAGACATTAGATCAAGGGAAAACACAACAAGGAGATTGGACTTTGATCACATGATAAAAGTGCAAGCACACATGGGAGATGTGAAGATAGGTAAGACATCTAAAAAATTAGCTAGCATTTGTTGCCCTCAACCCAGAGAAACTAAAGCAGATACCTTAAAAGCACCTGGCCAATAGGAGAAGTGGTCCAGGAACTAGAGAAAAGGTTAGATCAAAAAGAATTAACCTAGAAGGTAACACACATGCACAGGAAATCAATGCGAGTCAACTCCCTGTATAGCTATCCTTATCTCAACTAGCAAAAACCCTTGTTCCTTCCTATTATTGCTTATACTCTCTCTTCAACAAAATCAGAGATAAGGGCAAAATAGTTTCTGCCGGGTATCGAGAGGGTTGGGGGGAGAGGGAAGGGGTGGAGTGGGTGGTAAGGGAGGGGGTGGGGGCAAGGGGGAGAAATGATCCAAGCATTGTATGCATATATGAATAATAAAACAATAAAAAAAAGAAAGAACACATATTTGATCATGTTTAGATAATGCAACTGGTAAATAAAGGGAGAGAATCAAGCATTTATTTTGCTTTTCCTGGAATGTTATTTCAGCATTCTTTTGGGGACATTTCTCTATGGAATTATCCCTGCTAATAAGTGGCAAAGGAATAATAGAACTGCAATGTCACGATTTTGCCATAGCTCATGAAATGATGGTTCTTGATGATTACCATTGACAACTGCAACATCACAGAGAGAGAAAGACGACTAGCCGGTATGTGCCTTCTGATGGAGCAGTATGTCACTACCTATGAAGTAGTCCTGAGTCCTGAAGGTCTTTTAGGGTTCAGCCTCTCATTATGAGGGTCATCCCTTCTGTGGGTGAAGTGTGTTATAACTTAACTCTAGATATTAGTGTGTGGCTAAGAGGAGAGGAGGGAGAAGATGGTGACAGCCTGGGCTGTCTTTCAAAACTGAAGCTTCTACATCATCTTTAAGAAAAAGGTTAGATCTAATAAACCAACCTCTTCAGTAAGCCCGAGGGCTCAAGGAAATTTGGGATTCCAAGATCTTCAATTTCATCAACTCAGACGCTCCCATCCCTTATCTCAAATTCTTATTTCCTTGTCCTTGGTGTGGCAGAACAGTTCAGACTAGAAGAACAACCACCTCTGGACCTCTGTTACTTTATTCTTAAGTCTTATCCTTGGTCCTCAACTTATCTGTCCTCTAGTTTCAAGAGATGAGAGTTTATACTATGCCATGAGACCTCTGACTTTCACATTTGTCCTTTGATTTCTGATTTGTCACCTTGGGATTTCATTATTTTTTCTAGATCAATTGCCCCAGCTACAGACATTCAATTACATTATTCTTGTAGTTACTATAAATTATATCACAATATGTAACATGAGAAGATGTTGTCTCGTAGAACATTGTGCAATCTCTCCAAAATGTATTTTTCTAATTTTTATCCACGAATTCCTTCAATGTTGTCTAAGGACTTAAGAGACTGTTAGTGAAAATCAAATGGGGACAAATGTGGCTCAATCTATACTGTAACGTCAACAAAGCCCAGGTGTCTGTCCTACAAGTGTAGGTAAAATATAACTGTCCAGACAGAGTAGGCAATCTTAAAGAGTACAGACATGCTGAATTTTCTATACAGGAAAGTGGTGGTTTATTTTGGCACAGAGATATAACAGGAATATTGTGGGATTAAGAATGATAGAAAGAATCCTCAATGGACAGTTAAAAGAGAAGCTGTGAAAATACATGGTAGAAATAGTGAAATCAAACTGGATCCTTGAGCTTGATGATCTGGTGTCCCAATGTTAAAAATTTGGAGAGAACTTCTCAGGTTGATACAACAGTTGGCATATTATAAGCAAATTCACACTTGGGTGGGAAAGAGAAAGCCATATGGAAGATCTGGACTGACACTAGGGTGTGGCCACTGAGCTCCTGGGCCTCTGGTGCTCTCAATGAAATCATGAAACACAACTCAATGGAGCAACATCAGCACCACTCTGTGTGACCTAACGGTCAGCACAAAGGAAACATCTATATCTGTGGGGACAGAAAAGAAAGGGGAGGTGTGTCTAGGGAAGAGGGCTTAGCAGCAAGGGATGGCACAGCACATGGGGCGGGGGCAGGTGGAGATGACACAGGTTGGGCGATAGCAACTGGTGTGGCAGGAGACTTGGCCACACACTGGGCGCAGGCAGCAGCTGGGGCGGCAGCAGCTGGAGCCACAGCAGCTGGAACTACCACAGCTGGGGCGGCAGCAGGGCTGGCAGCACACAGACTGGCAGCAGGGTCTGCAGCAGCTGGACACACAGCAGCTGGGGCGGCAGCAGCTGGAGATGCAGCAACTGGGGCGGCAGCAGGGCTGGCAGCACACAGACTGGCAGCAGGGCCTGCAGCAGCTGGACACACAGCAGCTGGGGCGGCAGCAGGTGGTCCTGCAGCAGGTGGTCTGGCAACAGCTAGGCTGGCAGCAGCCTTGGCCACAGCCCTGCTCAGAGCAGACGGAGCCACAACAGGAGTTGACCATGGCGTCAATGGAAGGAGTGGAGTTCTGCGAGTGGCTTTGGGTGACTTTCCAATAGTGAGCTTCTTGAATTTGAAAGGCTCCTTACTCCAGTCTCCTTTTATACTCTGCTAACTAACTGGTGTTGCCATGAGCAATTCTTCTTCCTTGTTGTTTTTCTACCGGGAAGTCAATTAGCATTGTTAAGTTATAATTGTGTTTATGAGGTTAAGGTCAGTGTCTGGGAAAAGCATCTTTGTTTTCCTACAGTGTTATGATTCATTTGGTCTTCTTAAGCCTTGTGAAACCACATTCATGTTTCTACTTCTGACTTATATGTCTTCTAAACTGAGAATATCATATGACATTGTCTTGCTGAATTTTTACATGCATCACTCGTTCTTCCAAGATATTTTGAGGATGGTTCTCACAATGTTGGGTAATTTTTGTGTGTGCCAATGTGGGTAAAGGGAAGTTACTGCTGGGTAGAGTATTGATAAGGGAATAGAAAGAATGATTAATTATTTCAGTTATTTGTGTATACTAGGAGAAGACTGGTGTCCTACATGTTTCTTGGTTGGTTGGAGAGATAAGTGCTTGCCAAAAACCTTCCAAACCCATTGGAGTGATTCTACCTCTATAGTTAGCTTAAATTTTTTTTAATGGAAAAGACCCATTGATGAAAACAAGCTTATCCCCATAGGAATCTCCCGTACATACATTTATCTGATGATAGGCCACCATATGTGTGGATTTTGCATTTTATAAAAAGTTTTATTTAAAGCGTCCTTCTCTTATATTCCTTCAACCATATGAGTTCAAGACATTCTGCTTGAGTAATGAAGACATAGACAGATAAGCTTTCAGTGAAAAATAAGATAGCTGACAGCTGCTGTTAGTGCTTGCCAAGTGTATCTTCTGTTGAGTGCTTTGTTACTACTATCTGGATTTTTTCTTTTCAAAGAATCCATGAGGTGCTCATTCTCCATGAGTTCCTGCAGAAGCGAGTTAAGGTTGTTATGGCCTCTGTCTACAAAGTATAAAGAATATTAAATTTATACTTTCGATTGTCCTGTTGCATAACTTTAGCATGTTACTTCTTCAAATTCTTCCCAACAAATTCTTATTCTTCAAGTTGCAGCCCAGCCTCCCCTCCTCTCCAGTGTCTTCCTTGGCATACTATTTTATTGAAACCTCCTCTGCTCCTCCTTTGTGTTTGTCATCATGCTGTGATGCACTACACTTTAGCGCCTCAGACTGAAACCTGAATGTGCTCATCTGCCTGACCCCAGCTAGATGGCAAACACCTGAGCTGAACTCTTGATTCACACATTGTCATAATCACCCTCGGAATGGAGTAAACTAACATTTGATTTTTAAAGATTTAACTAATTTGTAATCATGTGTAAAGTATTTTTGGTTCTAAAATAAATTCTGTAAATGAAGTATATTCAAGGAAGTCTTGCTTCTATTTTTCTTCTCTGCATGCATTCCCTCCCTTCCCTGTGGATAATCACTTGTTTTTAATTAACACATACTCTTTGTACATATTTATGAGGTACAATGTGATATCTGATATATATATGTATATACTGATATATATATGTATACATATGTGTATATATGTGCATATGTATATATGTATACACACATATATCTATAAATTGGGTTGTGATTAATTTAGAGTAATTAAGATATCAAGCACCTTAAGTTTTTATTAGTTTTGAATTTAAGGTATTTCTTCCCATTATTATTTTAAGTATAAGTTATATTCATGGTCTTTATCTTCTTTGTTTCTTAGATAAATGTTCTCAGATTATTCACACTTCATTCCAACTTGATTTTGTCCCCTCAATAATACATAATGGCAGCTATCTACTGTGTGCTCTATAGTAGCATGTTCAGGTATTCTTCATGGCATTTCATTTGAATTTATGGGCATAACATAGCTTACTGAGCCAGTCCTCTGTTGATAGATATTTGGATTATTCCACGCTGTTGCTATGAAAATGATATTCTCCATTTGAAAGAATTTTTTTTATTTTGGAGATTGAGACCAAACAAAAACAAAATGAGATCAATGGATGTAAGAGCTACCTTATTGATTATTTAGTTATTTCATATTCTTAATTTTTCCCCATGTGTTCTATTTTTTAATTGCATAGTATATTAAAGTCTTTGATTATTGGTTTGTTTTTTTCTTATTCTTGCATCTCTGATAGTTTCTATTTCAGAAGTCTTAGCTCTATGGTTATATTTTCATTGGAGCCTTTGGCACAATAAATTATCCCATTTTATTTCCCGTAATGCTCTTTGGTATAAATTTAGTTTGTTTAGTTTTCACCTCAAGCAAGGGACTAATGGTTTACTCCATTCAGTTCCTCATTCCTGGGCCTGCACTTCTGACTCCTCTCTAAACTAAAAGGTTTTAAGGGGTCTCTAGGATTGAAAGGTAGGATGTGTCATTAGTAAAACCATCCTTTAGGGGCTGTTTGCCCATTTACATCTAAAGAAAAACTCCAACTCAATCTCATTCATATAAATAAAGAAATGAATAAAAATGCTGTGCACAATCCTAAGTGGACAAATGATAGACAAACATTTAAAAGGAAACACATCAGTTTTTTTGTTGAGAAACTCCACTAGAATATAGAGTTTCTAAGTGCAGTGTCTTGTGCATTTTGGTTCCTGCTATTACCTCAGCACCTATAATGGAGTCTATTTAGTGAGTGCTCAGTAAATTCTTTTTGAATGAGTTCGTGAAGAGATTGGCATTTGGGAAGATCAATGAAAGCAGATGCACTTTGTAGTGAGTCAGAACATCCATGTAGACATGGAGTGGAACCAATTATCAGGACTTTCTCATGTGGTCTTGCTGTTAGTCATAGTTTCCAACAAATCACAGTGTTTTTTTTCTTTTTCTCCAGGATCTTCTTCACTTCTCCAGGTCACCTGCTTGTCTTCTGAATGTACTTGGACTTGAAACCTTTCTATCAAAAGAAGTGAGACGTGGGTGAAGTCTATTGTAGAGGCAGAAGCAGCACACACTCACTGCATGGGAACACTTCTATCACTGAAAGCAAGTCTGAATAGCAAACATGCAGGCTGTCTGCTGTGAGACATGAAACATATATAATGTTATGCTGCTTTTACATTCACAGAATTCTCCCAATAATTAGTTTTCACCTTTTTGTTCTTTTCCTAGGACAGATTAATAGAGCTAGGTGATTTGCCTATGAATAGCAAGACACCTAGGAAAAAGGCAGTGACTAATGGAAACTGAAAAGTGAAAAGACCATGTTATTTATGTCAGTTTAGGAACAGAAGATACAACCTTAAGGGAGTTAACAATCACACTGAAGTTTTATTACAAGGGTGTGTATGTTTCTTTTGGTACAGAAATACATTAGGTTATTGGAAAATCATAGATAAAAGGAAGCTACGAGAATGATTTCATCAATTGTCTGGTGGCTGGATAAAATCTGCTTTTCTAAAGTGCTTCAGGGGATATCCATCCTCTAGACAACACCACTGGTTTCTCATTAGAATCATGAGGCCCAATTTAGTTCAGCTGCATGGAACCCTTTCTGTGTGTCCCAATGTTGAGTACACCCACAAAAGACCTGCAACAGATCAGGAGCAAGAGATGCACAACACATGGGGCAGGGACAGGTAGATATGACATAGGTTGGGCAACAGCAAGTTGTATGGCAGGAGATGTGGCCATAGACTGGACACAGGCAGCAGCAGAGGGGGCAACAGCTAGAGCTACAGCAGCTGGAGCTTCTGGAATCACCACAGCAGGAGTGGCAGCAGCTAGAGATGCAGCAAGTGAGCCTGCAGTATGTAGACACACAGCAGTGGGAGGAGGAGCCACATGCAGTCCTGAAGCAGGTGGTGTGGCAACAGGTGGTCCTGCAGCAGCTGAGTAGGCAGCATCTGGGCTAGCAGTAGGTTTCCTGGCAAGAGCCTTGTCCACAGTCTTGTTTAGAGCAAATGAAGCCACAACTGGAGCCATAACCATGGTGTCAGAGGATGAAGGTTCTAATATTAGTGAGAGAGTGAGCTTAGTGAAAATTCTTTTGCTGCATGTTGTCTTTTATGCTCAGCTGAGGTGACTGTGAACATGTCCTAAACCACTTATTAGTTTTTTTCTAAGAAAATATTAGTTAAGTTAGAACATTGGTTTTTTTCCTTTCTAAATATCATCTATCTGTCTATCATCTATCTTATATCTATCTATCTTTTTATCTCTCTCTCTTTCTCTCTCTCTCTCTCTTTCTCTCTCTCTCTCTTTCTCTCTCTCTCTCTTTCTCTCTCTCTCTCTCTTTCTCTCTCTCTCTCTTTCTCTCTCTCTCTCTCTCACACACACACATACACACACACACACACACACACACACACGAGCTAGGGGGAGCACTACTGGGGTTTGAACTCAAAACTTCTTGCTTACTAGGCAGACACTATACCACTTGAGCCAAATCCACTGCCCATTTTAGCTTTTGTTATTTTTCAGATAGGGTCTTGTGTTTGTTTCTGAGGCCAGCCTCAGACCACAATCTTCCTACCTATGCCTCCTACATAGCTGTGATTATGGTTGTAAGCCACCACATCTGGGTTGTTTCATTGAGACAAGGGTCTCACTAACTATTATTCCCAGACTGGCCTGGAACCATGATTTTCCCAATCTCTGCCTCCTGAGTAGCTGGGATTATAGGTATTTGTCACCATGTCTTGTCTTCTAAATATTTTAAGATAAAGAAAAATAAGATTTCCTTTTCTTAGATGCTAAGATTGTCCATTTGGTCTTTCACACAGAATTGCCCTTTCTATTCTCTTGTTTATCCACTGTGTCTTCTGGGCAGGGTAAGTCCCTGGGATGTACCTGTGATCTGTGTATCACTCATGATGGTATTTGAACAGAATGGTCTTATGATGCCAAGGTCTCGTTTGATGTCAAAAGAGAAGCAGAATTATATAGTAAGGAAACAGGAAAGAAGCTCATCTTGTGAATTAGCTCCCATGGGAAATGAGGAAGATGAGTCTGTTTGTAAGTCATGGATGCTCATTAGATAGTGGTCTCCCGACATTACTTCAAGGTATGCACCAGGTACTACTTCCTGTATTCAATTTGAAACTGTTACTAATGACTCATTGTTTCAAACACAAAAAGGCATTGGGAGTCACCTTGAAGGGATGCTCACTGGCTCAACATAGAACAATTTGAATGGCAAAATAAATAATGATAGTAGTGAATTTTAACCCATCTAATAAAATAAGAATCCATGAGTCCACACTGAGAATAATTAGAGAAATAGAAAACGAAGGTGGGAAAGTTATCCATGGCAGCAAAATGTCAATTAGTAAATGTGGAAAGAATAATGCGGTTACAAAATCACTGTTTACATCCATCAAAAAAAAAACTTGATCAAATAGATATCATCAGTGAATGTTGTCACCATTGGGTAAAAGTTTGATCAGACATGTGATGTTTACATATTTCAAAGTATTTTCCCATCAATTATTTATGAACTTCCAAGGGGGGGAAATGCTAACTTTATGGTGAAGAAACTTGAGAACACACCTTTAGTGCTGGGATCAACGTATCTTAATAACTGGCATGTGTCTCTTGCAGTCGCACACTGATAGGACACATCACTTATGTAGTATTCCTATCAAAGGGATAATCTGTATCTAACGATCAGAAAACATTGGCTAAACACAGACTAAGGAATGCTCTTCATAATGACTGGCCTGTTCTCTTTAAAGGTATCAGAGGTATCTAATATAAAAACAGGCTAAGAAAGTGTTTCAGATTTTATGAAAACAAAGAGATATGATATCTGAATACAATGTATGGATATGGACTAAAATTTCTCTATATGACAGTATCATCAACATTTGGACAATGAAGATACATTAGATAATAGCTAATAGTATTGCATTAACAGTTGAATTTCATATCTGCACTGTGGTTATATTAAAAATGTCCTTAGTCTTAGGATATGTCTATCTATATCCATATATCATCTGTCCGTCTGTATATCCATGCAGCTATCCATCCCTCCATCTTTTTTTCCTCCCTTCCTTTCATCCATTCATCCACTCATGCCCCCATCCATCCATCTCTATCTGTTCATTCACCAATGTACCTATCTATCTTCTAATCTGTCTAGAGAGAAAGAAAATGTGGCAAAATGATAAATCTAGGTGAAGACTTTATGGTATAAGGAAATCTTTACATTATTCTTGCAACTGTTCTGTAAGTCAGTTATTATTTTTTCAGAAATAAAAGTTTAAAGTATAAAAAGGATTTGAGATTGAAATGTTCTTTTTCTTAAGTGTTCACTAATTAAGAGTAAGTAGTTTGGGGAAAGGGGGAGGGGGAAAAGTGAGGGTGATGGGTGAATATGATAGAAATGCATGATATATTTGTTTGAAAATGGGATAGTGAAGCCCACTAAAACTGATGAAAAGAAGGAGTAGGCTGGAGGGGATTAAAAAAGAGTAATACAGATGAGGTAACTTTGATCAAAGTACATTATTTTCATTTATATAAATAACCCTCAAGAACTAAGGCAACTGAAGATTCTGATGGAGACTACAAGTAAGTTAGTTTAAAAGGCAGAGTATAGAAATCCTAACGAAAGAAGTGGATATAATAGAAAATGACTAATTTGGAAAAGGATGATGTAAAGTTACCCCTTGTTGTGATAGCCATTCCTTTCATATCACCTTGCTTGTTTACATCACTGTTCTTTTTTGGTTCTCTGGTGTGTAATTCTAGACAGGCAGTGCTTTCTTTCAGCATTTTGTAAACATCTTTTCAATGTCTTGTAGCTTCCACCAGTTCAGTTGGATTCCAGACTTACTCTTCTTTTTGTAAAACTATGTGTTGTTGTTTTATTTTTTTCCTGCTTGCTTGCCTTATTTAATTGTTATGAAAATGATATATACTTAAGGTGATTTGACATGAAACTTTGACAAACATATTTATTGTGAAATGATTTTCACAGTCAAGCTAATTAACAAATTCATCACCTCTCAGAGTTATCTTTTTGCATGTGTGTGGTGAGTACACTTACAAGCTACTCTCTAATGGAAGTTTCAAGTGTGTAATTCAGTATTATTAGCTACAGTCACCACGGTGTACATTAGACCTCTAGAAGTATTTTAAACTTTCTGTTATCTTCCAATATTTCAAGAAGGTGGAATTTCCCAAAAGAATTATTTTGCTGTTAATAGATGGAGATGAAACTAGGGAATCTGAGAATGTGATAAATTGAATTACATGAGACACGAACAAACACTAAGTAGGATGCTCTGGCTTTCCAAGAATGGGAGATTACAGGCTCTCACCTATAATCCTAACTACTCAGGAGGCAGAGATCAGGAGGATTCCAGTTCAAGGCCAGCCTGAGCAAAATGAAAGCAAGATCCTATCTCAAAAAATACCCAACAAATAAAAAGATCTGGTGAAGTGGTTTAAATGGTAGAATGGTTGCCTTAGCAAGTGTGAAGCCCTGAGTTTAAACTCTAGTACCACACACACACACACACACACACACACACACACACACACGCGCGCGCACAGAATGGGAGAAAAGCGACAATAGCAGAACAAAGGAGATGGAGAGAGGGAGAAAGAGGAAAGAAAGAGGAGCAGAATGGAGGAATTAAATAAATAAGAGGGGTGGAACTATAAGGAAAGATAGGCTTTCAAAAATACATAAGGTCCTGCTTACCCCTGATCCTTCATACACTAATAAACTTAAATAAAAATCTTTATCATTCTTTAGTCTTTTGGAAACATCTATGTATTGTAACATCTTTCTGTTTTTTGAGGTCACTACATTGAGATTATCATGGAAATGAGAGCAAGAATAGGAAAGCTTGAGATTCAACTATGTTTTGCATATACAAAGTAATAGACACAAGAAAATTATATTTATATACCAGGAAAGTGGAGCTTTATTTAGAAGCAGCAACAATAAGGTACAGAAATATCAATGTAAAAGGAAATACAAGATGGTACAGGAGACTTTCAGATCTGAGAGTGTGATTTTGCCTTCACAGGCCCTGTAGGTATTTTCATGTTTGGGGTTGGGCAACCTGGCACCCTCTATTAATTTCTTAATACCTACTTTCATACTTTGGCCCAACCTGGAGAAAAGGTGAATGATGGAGAGTTTTCCTGAAGCCATGATGTAGACACACAGTTAATGGGAATGATCTCTGCAAAGGCATCTATGGAGTACCCACAGTCTGCTCCTGTGACAAGCAAGGTGAAAGGTGGCTTTAAGGAATGGTCTTAGCAGCAAGGGATGGCACAGCACATGGGGCGGGGGCAGGTGGAGATGACACAGGTTGGGCGATAGCAACTGGTGTGGCAGGAGACTTGGCCACACACTGGGCGCAGGCAGCAGCTGGGGCGGCAGCAGCTGGAGCCACAGCAGCTGGAACTACCACAGCTGGGGCGGCAGCAGCTGGAGATGCAGCAGCTGGGGCGGCAGCAGGGCTGGCAGCACACAGACTGGCAGCTGGGGCGGCAGCAGCTGGAGATGCAGCAGCTGGGGCGGCAGCAGGGCTGGCAGCACACAGACTGGCAGCTGGGGCGGCAGCAGCTGGAGATGCAGCAGCTGGGGCGGCAGCAGGGCTGGCAGCACACAGACTGGCAGCTGGGGCGGCAGCAGCTGGAGATGCAGCAACTGGGGCGGCAGCAGGGCTGGCAGCACACAGACTGGCAGGAGGGTCTGCAGCAGCTGGACACACAGCAGCTGGGGCGGCAGCAGGTGGTCTTGCAGCAGGTCTGGCAGCAGCTGGGCTGGCAGCAGCCTTGGCCACAGCCCTGCTCAGAGCAGATGGAGCCACAACAGGAGTTGACCATCGTGTCAGAGGATGGAGGTTCTAGTGGGTTTCCAGGAGAGTGGGTTTCAAGTTTTGGAATCTTATTGCTGCATGTCTCCTTTTATACCAGGTTGAGGAGTCTTTGTGATTACAAAAAGATAATATCTTTGTTTTTGTTGTTATGACACAAATGGAATTAGTAAATTTCCTTTTTCTAGTTAAAACTACCAGTACATAGAAAATAATTAGTTTTCTTTTCTCCTGTTTCCTGGTGTTAGCACATGAATCACCTCTCATGTTTCTCCCTTGGTTATAATATTACATGATTTCAGACTCTGAGGGTCATGTGACATAGAAGGGCCATTGTCTATTTTTCATCTTGATGTGACTTGGGGAGAGCTTTTAATGGATCTGGATCTTTCATGGATAAATGCATGTTTTCAATCAGATGGATTGCAGGAATGAAAAAAGGAAGTAAGCTCCTCTTTTTGAGTATGAGAAATGAGGAAGCTTATGATTCATGTGTATATTCTTGCTGGTCAATTGAGCAAGATGTTTTCATTTCTAGTAATCTGATGTACCTTGAAACAGTTAACAGTGACTCAGTGTTTATAAGGACTGAAGAATCATCTGGGTCTATCTTTAAAATTGTCCTCCAGGGCTACTTAAAAAGTAGACATCGATCTACCATTTGATCCAGCAATACCACTCTTGGGATATACCCAAAAGACTGTGACACAGGTTACTCCAGAGGCACCTGCACACCCATGTTTATTGCGGCACTATTCACAATAGCCAAGTTATGGAAACAGCTAAGATGCCCCACCACCGACGAATGGATTAAGAAAATGTGGTATCTATACACAATGGAATTTTATGCAGCCACGAAGAAGAACGAAATGTTATCATTCGCTGGTAAATGGATGGAATTGGAGAACATCATTCTGAGTGAGGTTAGCCTGGCCCAAAAGACCAAAAGTCATATGTTCTCCCTCATATGTGGACATTAGATCAAGGGCAAACACAACAATGGGATTGGACTTTGATCACATGATAAAAGCGAGAGCGCACAAGGGAGGGGTGAGGATAAGTAAGACACCTAAAAAATTAGCTAGCATTTGTTGCCCTTAATGCAGAGAAACTAAAGCAGATACCTTAAAAGCAACTGAGGCCAATAGGAAAAGGGGAACAGGTACTAGAGAAAAGGTTAGATCAAAAAGAATTAACCTAGAAGGTAACACCCACGCACAGGAAATTAATGTGAGTCAATGCCCTGTATAGCTATCCTTATCTCAACCAGCAAAAACCCTTGTCCCTTCCTGTTATTGCTTATACTCTCCCTACAACAAAATTAGAAATAAGGGCAAAATAGTTTCTGCTGGGTAATGAGGGGGTGGGGGGTAAGGGTGGGGGTGGAGTGGGTGGTAAGGGAGGGGGTGGGGGCAGGGGGGGAGAAATGAACCAAGCCTTGTATGCACATATGAATAATAAAAGAAAAAGAAAAAAAAAAAGAATTGTCCTCCAGGCTGAGATAGAGTAATTTAGACAATAGTTTTTAATCTATCTTTGGAATATTGAGATATCTCCTTGTTATACTTTATTGACATTTTATTAAAATATTTTTCATATGTTCTGAGATAAATTGTTTAGCAGTTTTTGTAGTATCACCTATGTCTAATTTGTCATAGGTACTAAGGTGAATATGAAAGATATATTACTCATCTTACATGTGCTTACACAGAGATTGTACCCATAAAGTGTTTTAAAATTACAGCCTCTCATGAGGATAGTCTTAAGTAAGGGTCCTTTTTAGTGTCACAAAAATTCAGATCAAAAATTATTTTAAGGAAAGAACTAATTGCCCTTTGTCTGGGGGGAGAGTGTCTCTTGTCAATTCAGTATTCTTTTAGTTATCTTGTACTGACAAGTCTGAGCACCATTTTCCTTCAATATTTTTCTTGGCTCCACACAAAGCAAAGTTCTTCCTTTATAATCCTTTTGTTGTGCTTTCTGTATACATGGACTCCATGATTTCATTCTCTATCAGCAATGCATTTGTTTGTTGGCTCCCTCTGTGATACAAACTCTGTTAGGGAAGGGACTATGCCTTGTATACCAAGGCCTGAAACAGAATGAGTTTTTGATAAAGGAGCTATCTGTCTAATGAATGAAGACTTTGTTATGGCTTTTAAGAGACATGCATTGACTTTTGAGAATACATACATTCAAATGGGTGGAGAGAAAGGGGATTCCAAAGGAGGAGCACACAACCGAGACTGGATCTAACTCTAGCTTGTGATGACAAAAGGGTGTGCTGGGTCTGTTTTGAGAAGTAATGAGAGATATGTTGAAATTAATAAAATTTAGGAGAAGTTTCAGGTAGTCTTGATTTCTGGAAGAAATAATGGGGAGCTATGAAAAGATAACTATTATCTTGTTTATGAAATAATAAACTTATTTATTATAAAATAATAAAATTATTCTTTCAAAGAAAGAATCAGCAGAGACTTAGAACAAATTAAAATAGAGGTATAACAAGGTGTGTTAGTTGGCTCCCTATCACTGTAGTAAATACATGAAATAATTAACTTATAAAGAGAAAAGATTTATTTTGGCTCACAATTTTAGAGGTTTCAGTGCATGATCAGTTGACCTCATTGCTTTTGGGCTTGTGGCAAGGCAGTACATCACGATGTAGGGGCCAGTAAAAGAGCGTAAACAACCCACTCTGTGACCAGAAAGCAAAAGAGAAAGGATGGGGCCAGGATTGCACAATAAGGCTCCAGCTCCCTAAGGTTTCACCACCTGGCGGGGGAGGTATCAAGCCTTTAATATATGGGCATCTGCAGTACAGTCAATACCTAAACTCTAGCAGGAAGTCTCTTTGTAAAATTTTAAAAAGATACCCAATGTAATTATTTGAGCATATGTGTGTGTGTGTGTGTGTGTGTGTGTGTGTGTGTGTGTGTGTAATTATGGCCCCTACCCCCTAAAAGCTACTAATCTAAAAATTTTAAAGGATAAATAAACAAAATAAGCCATACCTCAAAAAGAAGAACCTAAAACATAAAAGACCACCCAGCAGTAACGTTATGTTCCTTTGCCTTGGTGCACTATTTTCTTTCCTTTTAAATGGCATCCTAATAAATCTTTGCTTTCTCCTATAAAAAAAGAAAAAAACCTTAGTGATAATGAAAAAATACAACAAAAGAGGAGAGTGTGGTATTTGGCACAGTTAGGCACTAACTGTGCAGAACTATCTCTTCTCCCAGGAGTCTAAGCAAAGTGCAAACATGGTGGGTGATGGATACCCTGATCTTCTTTCCTTCTCCAGGTTTTGAGGATCAGATGCCGAGCAATTTGCTGGATGCTAGAATAACAACATAGCAACCTACAGATTTTACCATCATTCCAGTGTTTTGCAAATTTACTAGCCTCAATAGTCTGGCACTGTAAATTCCACTATATTCCTTCTCTTCCAGATGAGGAACCAAAGCAGAGGGAATATTAGAGCCCCGTAAGTAAAGGCTATGATTTGATCCCTCCAGCCCAGCCCTGCCTCCACGTTTCTAATCACTATGAATGCTATCTTTTGCAAAATCAGGAGTGAAAGACATTTTCTTTTTTTTCTTGTTAGTTTTGATGCAGTCAAATTTTATGAATTCTGAGGTTTGTGTCATAGTTTGAAAGGTTTTTCCAGTTACAAATTTACATAAACATCGCCCCACAATGTCTATTAAAATCAAGGTTTCATGCTTTGTTTTTTAAACTATTTGATCCATTGTGAATGTACATAGGTATAAGATATTAGGTTTAAATATCTTAAAATGGGGTATGACCATAACCCAACATTATTTATTAAACATCATATCTTTCCCCCACTGATTTGAAATGCCACCTTTTCTCTTCTCCCCTTATCCACCCCCATCGCCTTTTCATATACTAGATTCTTCTCTGTATTGTGGTACATTCCTGGGCTTGATTTTCAATTCACTAATGACTTTTTTATCTACTAGTACCACATTAATCAGGAATGGTATTAGTTTGCTCATAATGACTGTCAAATCCAGTCTGCCTCATTATATTATGGCAATATGCTAGTGAACTCAAATATCTATGTGGCAAAATAGTACACATATGTTGGGTTCCTTGCCGTGAGAATGTGACTGTGCCATACTCTACTGGCATAGCCGGCTTGCTAGGCTTGTCATTTGTGAAAAGTTCTTACATATTAGGTCCAAATGAAGCAATTAGAGCAACCATCTTATTTATTCACTGAGAGTGTGCTGTTAGCATCTAAGAACTGTCTCTCTTACACACTGGCAGACAGGGTTATTAAAAGGGAGCATAAGAGAATTAAAACTCCCATGTCAGTGATTTTCTTAATCAAAATATCTCTTGTTGTCCTTCTGTAATTCTGTATTTCTTAATATTTGTTACCTAGAATGGCTTGAGCAGTTCCAAAGATACATATGCAACATGACCAAATAAAACTGAATGAAGGGCAGACTTAGTTAATACTTTATTCTAGTTAATACTTTATTCACTTAAAATCTATCCCTACCATACATTTAGGTAAAGCTAATGTAGCCCTAAAATAATCAATCTGGTCAGAGCTTTCCATTCATAACTTTATATCTATCTCAGTTTTCTCTGTTCTAACCTCTCCAGTATCACTTTTAGGGCTTTTAGAGAACCGTAACCCTCCCTGCAGGCAGTTACCATGATTATGTGATTGTTGCACAGGCCTTCAGACCTGTTCCTTGTGTTACGAGCTCTGGGTTCGGAGGCCTCCCTTGCATCTATTCATACCTCTGCAAATAGTCCTCTTATTGCACATTTAATGGGCCATCTCATTTCTGTTCTTGTAAAAACAGAAAAATTACAAGTCTCATAGTCTTTAAGACTGAAAAAACCATATAAAACCTCTTTTCTTTGATTTAGTTCTAGCTCATAAATCATCATGTTAAAACCAGATCTTGCATCCTATAATTAGCAGCTGTCAAAGCAGAGCATAGGGGAGGATAAAAGGTTCGCTAATTCTGGTGAGTGAAAAGACAGGTCTGTGCTCTGCAGAACGATTTAGAATAAGAGGAAAGTACTGAAGCTGAAAATGTCTGCAGGACATTTCTTTGACACGTGAGGAATACAACACCAACCTATCTTTAGGTAAAAACCCATTTTATGCCTACTTCTATTCATTTTGTCTCTTGACACCTTATTTTTTTTCATTTTAGAAATAACAAGTGACCCTTATTTGTACTTGTGATTTGTAAATGCAACACTACAAATATTTAATGCATAGAAAATATGAATTTAAAATGATTATGAATCAATACTTACAAGCCCTTATATTTGTATAAAGTATATTATTGTACATATTGTGGCATGATTTCCTAGCCAAGGAGGATCATTCATACCTGAGTTTTGGTGGTGAGAAAACTGAGTGTCAAAGAAGTATCGCACTTATGTTCCCCTAGGAAAAACCAAGAACACGAGGAAAGCTCAAAATGAGAGAGTAAAGGAAAAGGAGACATCTCAATAATGTGATAAACTGAAATTATGAAGGAGCATCTGTCCAGAAATGCTAAAATTTGGAGCATCTATTAAAGAAAAACTTTAAAATTTGTATGGGAAAGTTGCCATGAAGTTTATAAATTTCCAGTTATTTTGAGTTAGAGCTTCACTTTGTATTCTGAATGAGAGCTGTATGTTTAGAAAAGAAGGAAATCAGGAAGGAACAAAAGAAAGAAGGATGGAAGAAAGATGGTCAAAATTTATGCAAAGTTAGAAATATCATTAAGATATTGGGGAGTCACCAGAAAGTCTGGGAAGCGAACATACTGGATGGGAAGTCTGAAGGAGTTTTATCTGATGCCATGCTGTCCCTCCTCTGCCCCTGGATTGAGCAGGTTTTAGCCAATTAGAAAAGATCCAGGTTGGGAGGGGGCTTTGAGAACAAAGATATTTTAAAATTTCAGGGAAGCAATAACTGTTGTTGGATATCATCTGTGGAATCAGGGCATCTAGTGGAATTCTTGCCCTGGCCCAGCTGAAGATAACAACCCTTTGTTCTTAATAGAAACTTTAATCATATTAAGTTGAGTCCATGCAGTGAGCATATGGGAAGTGAGTTAGTAAGGCAGTTATTACTGATTAAATTCTTTGACAGAGAAGACCTGACCTAAGCTGATTCTTACATGCAAGCAGAAATGGAACATACTAGTAGAAGAAATATGATCAGGTGAAATTTAAATGACTTCATGATGTTCAGTTCACTGAAATTTTTAAGGAATATTTGAGATGTATATCAAAACTTAATTTGAAGTTATGGAAGATAGTAGCAGAGCTATACAAGTTTTCTTGATGTTCTATCAAAGAAAATGCTATGCAAAGATACTGTTCTGTCCCAGGCTGGTATTTCAGTAGTAATAACATTACGTTTATTGAGAGCTTATATCATGTATCTGGCCCTGATGAAATGGATTATGTCTTTAAACCTTTGATGAAGATAATGTATTAGCCCTATTTAGCAGAGAAAGCAATCTGAGGCCTGAAGAGATTAATGCCTGCTGTGGTCCTGACTCCAACAGAGGTGTCATGAATCAGGAGCCCCTGCTCTTAAAGGTGCTCTCCTGCATTTGGAGAAAGATGAACGTTGGGGTGAAGTGACAGATAAACTGAAATACACAGAGACGATCAAATAATTAACAGATCAGGAGATTTCACTATCAGGGGAGATGAATGTTTATTGAGAATACCTAGAAACAATTCTATATGAGGTCATCATAATTAGCACAGAATTAGAGTGAAGACATTCTTTGCCTAAAAATAGATGCATTTGAAACCGGGTTAAAATTCTTTAACAAATGTGTTTGCATCTGTTATTTTCTATAGGAACTGAATGCAACTCCAAATGCCACATCACAAGACAGATCAGCAGCTAAGAGTCCATTTTCCCAGTCACTGGAAGGCAACAATGTATTTTATGTAACTGAATTACAGGCAGAGATCAGCAGCAAGGGATGGCACAGCACGTGGGGCGGGGGCAGGTGGAGATGATACAGGTTGGGCGATAGCAATTGGTGTGGCAGGAGACTTGACCACACACTGGGCGCAGGCAGCAGCTGGGGCGGCAGCAGCTGGAGCCACAGCAGCTGGAACTACCACAGCTGGGGCGGCAGCAGCTGGAGCCACAGCAGCTGGAAGTACCACAGCTGGGAAGGCAGCAGCTGGACACGCAGCAGCTGGGGCGGCAGCAGCTGGAGGTGTAGCAACTGGGGCGGCAGCCACACAGGCGCCAGGAGGGCTGGCAGCACACAGACTGGCAGCAGGGATGGCAGCAGCTGGACACACAGCAGCTGGGACGGCAGCAGCTGGGCTCGCAGCAGCCTTGGCCACAGCCCTGCTCAGAGCAGACGGAGCCACAACAGGAGTTGACCATGGTGTCAGAGGATGGAGGTTCTTGGGTGGGTTTCCAAGAGATTGAGGTTCTGGAGTTTGGAAGTCTCCTTGTGCTACAGCCTCTTATATACTATCCATATTCCTGTTATCATATGTTTTCCTTGTTTTTATTTACTGAATAGCTAAGTAATTACCAGATCACATGATAATGTTTGTCCACTTAATGGTTTAATTTTTTAGAAGCAAATTTTCTGGTCCAGGCATAGTAAATTCTACTGATCTGCTTTTCCTCCTGACTCACGTTCAATGGCATCTTTCAGACCACACTGCCTTCATCCCCCCATGGAGGGCTGTCATGTGAAGCTCTCTGTCTGTATCCTCTGCCACAATGAGGATTGGTCAGCCACATTTCTGGTTATATGCATTTATTCCACTGACCAATGGAAAGAAAGTCCATCTAATTAGTTTGGCACCTGTTGGATGAGAGGAAAAGGATTTATCCTATGGGCATTTTTGAGCAATGAGGAAGGGTACTGCTCTACGTGTGTTGATGTTAGTGACTTCTGTACCACTGGAATAGACTTTGCCGGATGCTTCAGACTTGTTCTGTTCTATATCCTTAAATGCTGGCAGGCATTATTGTTGGTATACTTGGTTTTATTACAATGTGACATGGCTTCTTAAATTGCTGCCTTACTGTCTTGTATGTTTGTATCATGTCTCTCCATCTGATCTTTTAAGTTCTAAAAGACATAGCCTCATTTAAATTTTTTATGTCATTATTAATTAATAGCATTTCTTCAGTGGAACAAAGGCTGTCAGACAATCAGAATATGCATCTCTTCAGAACATAACACCAGAATGGAGAAATCTATGACTCTAGATTGTTGGAGTGGAGCAATCTGAAGTGTCAGTGGAGCTCAGTAAATTCCACCTTATTGAATTAGTGTTTCACTTCTCTTTTTAGAGGTAGTGTCACTTAAGCATGTATACAGATCATCCAGACAGCTTGATGGGTTTGCTCCCAGAATTTCTAAGTGTTCAGGGAGCTTCAGGCCCTACCTTTCTAACAAGTGTCCAGATCATGTTGGAGCTGAAGGCCCAATGACCACACTGAGAGACCCCCTGCTTTACACTATTCACTCAAGCTTTGCAGAAGCACCCACAGCCAGGTCCTGCCTTACTTGTAAAATAGATCCATCGAATAAGTCATCTGAAAGACACATGTTGGCAGCCATTGAGGTTAGGAGTGTGACGTAGATTCTCTTCCTGGGGAATTCATAGGTGAGTTGGATGGTCATACACATACATAATTATAATAGACTGGAGTAAAGTAACATCAAAGGAGCTTGTTACAGTGATATTTCATTCAAATAATTGTGCTTACAGTGACTTAACTAATATGATTAGGTAGTCTTATTTTAAAGTTAACCTTTCTAGTCAGTTTTTAGTTTTTATGATTAAGTGAAATTCACATACATTGAAATGCACATCCTAAGCATATTATTTAAAGAGTTATAAGTGGATACCTCCAGGTAGCACTCACACCTATCAAGACAGGGACATTTACATTTTATTAGAAGGTCTCCAAATGTCACTTTAGTAAACTCCCACCAACACAGAGGTAGCCAGTGTTTTAATAACTTGGACCATAGATTTTTTTTCCTTCAGGCATCTTTAACTTGACATATGTCTGTGAGATTCATTATGTTGTTGCATCATTCACTAGTTCATCTGGAGCTATACTAACCTTCATTTTAACTACTACTCACCAATTTTAGGGTAGCAGGACCAACTGTCCCTGGTTGCCCAGGTCTGAGGGAGTTCTCAGAACTCAGGACTGTCATTACAAAACCCAGGGAAGTCTTAGGAAAACAGAGGTGAGTAGGTCAGCCTATCATGACATACTTCATTTATTTAAGACTTTAAAAACTTTGCAATATTTGTATCACATTAAATTTATTATCAAACACTTGCTTTACGTGTTTTTATTTTATATGTGTATGTTTGCAAAGCTAGGACATGAAAGATGGAACAAATTGCACTGTGAAGCCACAGAGTATCCTGGGGGTAGGCAGGGGGTTCACTGGATTTGATATATATGAGAGACTGAAGAAAAAATAAAGACATAGGGGGGAGACATTTTGATCATTGCTGGAGATATTTCTATACTAATTTAGGGAGGTTAAGGAAAACATTTCATAGGCAGAGAACATTCCATTATAGTCCAAAGGATAATCACAGCCCTTAGACCAGTGGTTCTTACAGTTGGCTTCATGCTGGGGAAAGCTTAAAACTGCTAGCCTTGTTTCTGCCCAGGACAATTTTGGCTTAATAGGTCTTGGGTAGGACCTGGGCTTCAAAGTTTTTAAAGCAATTCAGATAATCTTAATGGGCAACCAAAATTAGACAGATCTCTTTAAACTGTCTGTAATACATATATGTATAATATTAAATTATAAGTCACTAAAATAATTAAAATATAATTGATAGTAACTAAAGAATATGGAAAATAATCTTAAATTTGAAACCCTGAATTTTATTTATGTATTCATTTTTGGTGGGACTGGGGTTTGAACTGAACTCTGAATTTTGAGCAATGCAGAAGGAAACACTAATTCTACTCTTTGAAATCATTCACATACCAAAACAAACAATGCTATAGAGAGACGTCCCACTCCCACACTAGTGTAAGTGTCTCAACTTGTCACCTGTTCTTTCCTTCAGGCAATTGTCTTCAGTTCATGGAGGCAATGTCATCTGGAGGTGTCTGCTCCGTTGAATTTGCACTCTCTCCTCCTGCCCTGGGGTGGCCACCACTTGTGATAACTATGACCGAACTACAGAGGTCCAGTCACCTTGCTGCTAGGAGAGGCAAGGCTGAAGTTATATTCACACTTGAGAGCTTTCTGGGTGGTCAGATGAGGTAGAAGTCACTGAAACCACTTTTGGCTCAGTTGCTTCTATGACTGTAAATTAGCTTTCCCTAGTTTCTTTCCTAGACTACTGAGAAGATTTCCTTATAATTCTTGTGTGCTAAAAATTCCTGTTTCAGTTCTGCTTTTAATGAGTCTTATATATATCACATACCTCTCAGGGTCATAACTCTTCAAACCTGGCCACCTTCAGTTGTTTTGTTTTTGTTGCTTGGACAGAGCCACACTAAGTAGCCTATAATGGCTTCAGAGTCACAATTCTCCTGACTCTGACTGCCAAGTGCTGGTATTACAGGCAGGGATTACCATGCCCAGCTAGACACCCTTCTTTAAAGTGAGAACTACTAACGCAGTCATTGATTCCTACCCTTCAAATATGGTAATGTGTCCTCTTCCCCCTCCAAAAAAGGGAATGGAGATACTACATAAAACAATGGAACAAAATTTAGAGGAAGGAACAGTTAATGTTCACATCCAGGTGTCTTAGACTACATTCACTCTGAGGCAATGCCAGAAATGGGGGTTGAGACAAAGTAGTTTACTTGGAAACTGATCGAAGTAAGAGCTGTAGCTAATTCAGGAAGTGATCCAGGGCAGAGAGGCCACCAGTACAGAGTGACATAATGAGTAGAACATGAGCCCAAGGACAGCTGGGCTCTAATCCTACTGAGGACCTCTCGAACACAAATGACACATGTCTACTTGAGGGGAAGTAAGCTGGAGCATGTGTTCCTTGGCTCCCTTTCACTGGTTGAGCTCACAACTAGAAGCTATAACTTTCTTGCCTGGAACTTGCTCTTCAACCAAAACTCTTAGTAGAGAATCAGATGCTGGTTCTACGAAGCCACCTTCTTAAGATGAGGAGTGCTGAGGAAACAGCTGACAAACTTGAAATCGTAGGCTATCTATAGTCTTTTCATTATTTAGGGGTGAGTTACAAAAAATTGACAGATAAGGACAATGAGTCAAGAAGAAAAAATGAGACATGATCTTTTTGTATGCCTGAAAGATTCAGATTTATTTAAAATGTAGAAATAACAACATTGCAGAAAATATGACAGAGAACAAATATTTTCATGCAGGTAATATGATAGTTGTCAGATTTCATAGAAAATTCTAATTTGTATTCATTCCAAAAAGAGAGAGCAACTTCGTAGGAAAGGGAGCAGTGTATTTGGAGGCCCAAATCAATCTCAATGTGAACTGAGGTTTTATAATTGGCCTTTCATAATTCAGCACACAGATGGTCTACATGAAGAATGTTGGCTGATAGGGGCCAGGAGCGTGCAGGTGAGAGCGCTCAGCAGCAAGAACCACTGCAGCAGCTGGGGCGGCAGCAGGGCTGGCAGCACACAGACTGGCAGCAGGGGCGGCACCAGCTGGACACACAGCAGCTGGGGCGGCAGCAGGTGGTCCTGCAGCAGGTGGTCTGGCAGCAGATGGGGCGGCAGTAGGGCTGGCAGCAGCTGGACACACAGCAACTGGGGCGGCAGCAGCTGGAACCACAGCAGCTAGAACCACCATAGCAGGGGCGGCAGCAGCTGGAGATGCAGCAACTGGGACGGCTGCCACACAGGCGCCAGGAGGGCTGGCAGCACACAGATTGGCAGCAGGGCCTGCAGCAGCTGGACACACAGCAGCTGGGGCGGCAGCAGGTGGTCCTGCAGCAGGTGGTCTGGCAGCAGCTGGGCTGGCAGCAGACTTGGCCACAGCCCTGCTCAGAGCAGACGGAGCCACAACAGGAGTTGACCATGGTGTCAGAGGATGGAGGTTCTGGGTGGGTTTCCTAGAAGGTGGGTTGGAAAGTTTGGAGGTCTCCCTCAATGCCCTTTTATACCCTGCTGAGGGGCTGCTGTTGTCACATGTAGCATTCTTTCCTTGCTATTGTTTGTGTTAATAATTATCAAATTAAGCAACTTTCTGGGTAAAAATGTCTAAGTGGATGGAAAACATGATTTCCTTTCCTCCTGTGTTAGGATTCATCTGTCAGCTCTTGCAGAATCATTTCTTAAGTGTCTTTCTTGCTTTAGTTCCTCAAAGAGACCTGTCATGTGACATCCTGTGTTTCAGTGTGTCACATGCAGTATGCTTCATTCTTATTGGGTCTTGCATATCGTGTCTACCCTTTGGTAGTCATGATTCCTCTGGACCAGGAGAAAAAAGCTACATTTTAGACTGATGGCTCATGATTGGTCAGGTAGATAAGGAAGGTTTGAATGTGAAAGACCACTGGCATGAGAACAGGAAGGCCGTTAGTGCTCTTCCTTTCCAAACTGTCAATCATGATCCATTTTCTAGGCTTATGGGAAATGCAGGACTACTTCAAGGTGGGAAACAGAATGGTGAAATATTGACATTTCCCTCTTTCCTTCTTTCCCTCCCTCCTTTTCTCCCTTCCTTCCTTCCTTCCTCCTTCCCTTCTCTTCCTTTCTCCTTCCCTTCCTTCCTTTCTTTCTTTTTTTAAAGTATTTTTTTACCAGAAATAAACCTCTAAAACTCATTTCAGCACCTCTTGTGAGAGGTGGGTTACAGAGTTCTGCAATGTCATAAAATTTAGGTCTCTTTCTACACTGTGGGTATATGTCCTTTCTAACTTTGGCATCCTGCATTTCTGACTTTAACAGGACATTTAGACTCATGTCCTCTTTTTCTGATATTGGCTTGCCAACCCAAGTTAGATGATCCTGTGATGGTGCCACCTATTCTAATTTACTTGATGCAGTATCACAGCTGTCTCCCAAGCTCCTGAACCTTGTAGATGCACTGGATTCTCCTCACTGTTCAAGAGGGTGATTATATTTCTCTCTTCAGGTCTTCATTTTTAAAAGGTATAAAAAAGAGTGATATAAAACATATCTAAATGAAATGATATTAGCTTGCTTTTATTTATTGTGTGGTTACAGGAAAGGCCTACAGGGTACAAAAAAAAAGTCCATCCCATTGGCTAGGTGATTAGTATTTCCAAAAGTGAGAAATGTTTCCAGTTCATTACAAGTTGGACCCTTGTGGCTCAAGAAACAGGCAGACAGAGACTAGTTGGTAAGAATGTGATGACATCATTAAATGTCTTAATTGAGACCATTTAAAGACCAAGTCCATTGCAATATTTTTATCACATTAACTTGCTTAGCAAACACTTGATTTTCATGCTTTTAGTCATAGACTTATGCTTGAAAAGCTGGAGACCATGAAAGATTGAATAATTATGTCCTGAATGGGGAGATTTTTCACTGGATTTGCTATAAAACAAGGACAGAGGAAAACATAAAGACATTGAAGAAAGACTCCTTGACTATTAGAAAGAAGTTTCTATATAAATTTAGGAATATTAAAAGGCCCTTTCCACATAGCTACAACACAGAGAACATTATTGTTGGAGAACACTATGTAGAGAATCACAGCCCTTAAGCCAGTGGTTGTCACACTTGGCTGCATGGTGGACTCACCTGGGGAGTTAAAGACTGCCAGTGCCTAGCTCCTGCCTAGAGCAGTTTTTTATTTAATTGGTCTGGGGTAGTTCCTGGACCTAGGAAGTTTTAAAGACTCTTCAGTTTATTCCAATGAAGAGCAAAGCTTAAGGCCCACATTCTTAAGTTGCCCATATTATATATATGTGTGTCAATTTCAACTGAGAGCACAAGTCACAAAAATTTGTATTTTAATTGATGGTAACTAGATAACAGAGAAAGTGATTCTGAGTTGGAAACACTGAACATTGAGAAGTGTAGAATGAAACACTGGTAATGCTTTTTCCCATTTTGGCTCACTCCAAGACCCAAACCACATGGATGAGAATGGATCCACAGGATATGAAGCACAATGAGAAATTACTATAGATACCATGCTGGGCTTTTTCTTTGTAAAATTCAAGACCAGGAAAGCCATCGCTCTCTGCAGTCCTTGACAATGTTATTGGTGGCCCGATGAACAATGGGAAATTAACACCAGGGCTATACACATAAATTATGTGAAGTCTACCTGAGCTGTTCCTTTTTTATTACATAGAGCAGACAATGGGGGACAATTGCTTTCTGTTATATAATTTAAAAGACTGGTTTATTTGTTCTTTTAGAATACTATGGTCAAAAAAGCCCAGCTAAGTTAAAAAGAAGAAAATCAGGATGGATATAAAATCATATTTGCAAAGACCATCTGGGAACTGAGCTATGTGTGCCAGTAACCTGGATAGAGATTAAGAGCATATCCTTTAAAAAAATAGCATGCAAAAAAATTCTTGTCAGGTATCACTTATGTTAGTATACAATCATATTTTTATAAATATCTCTATATATTTTATTTGTAACTAAAGTGAATATCAAGTGAATTACAATGTCATATTATAATATCATGATCTAAATAGGTACACCTAGAATAGGAATATCTAACTCAGAAGACAATTACTATATTTTCAATTCAATTATGCTAATTTACAATAAAATCAAGCTCTATTTAAATACTTAAGAATATATTATACAATATTACCAGTCCTGATTTAAAATGATAAATGTAATCAGAGTAATATTTAAAGTAATAGAAGTATCCACTCACCATTGATTGAATTTCTATTGTTTTAAATTATCTTCATCCACTGCTTAATCTAATCTTGCTTTCTGAAAGTTAAGTAAGTATTTCACCTCATCTGTATTTTTAAAAATATCTGTTATTGTGGAAAATATACATACACTGAAAATGTAAAAAATATGCATGTATATTATAAAAAATGATTTGGCAAGTAGCCAAGCCCAAGTCTAGAGTGATGACATTTTGTTCACCAAGAAAGTTTTCTGTATGCCTTTTCCTGACCATGCCTGTCTACCTTCATCCCCAAAATAATCACTATCCTGAATTTTAAAATAGTTTTCATATTGCATTTTAAGATTCTAATAATACCTCCATAAACAATAAAAGCTAATTTTACATGTTTCTGAATTTTAAATAAATGTAATTTGACTATATTTATTTTATATTTTTATTCTTTTGCCTGATATTATGCCCTAACTAGGACATGCAGCCTCTGAAGTGTTTTCTCAATTGTTTTCACTACATGGTGCTCATGGTCCATCATCTCACTAGTAACCAACAATATGTGGCAACATTCGGTGATTAACTGACAAAGGGACTAAGTGACAAAGGGACTGTGGCTTTCCTCTTGCAAGCTGACTCTCCTTCAGACTCTACCAGGCTTGCTGGCTTTTATAAATCCAGCTGCTCTGTGGGAGACATCCATATGGCAAAAGCTCAGAGCAGCCTCCATCCCAGAGCTAACAAGACACTGAGTCTCACTGCAATGGCATCAGAAACAAATACACTCAGCAACCACAGAGGTGAACTTGAAAGGGGATCCTACAGGCTGACCCCTCACCTGAGACCCCTGTCCCAGCTACCACCTTCCTTGAAGCCTCATGAAAGACTAGGAAGTAAACAGTGCAGTTGAGCATTACTGTTTCCTGATCCACAGGAACTGAGGTGAGAAATGTGTGATGTTTTAAGCTGTGAAGTATTGAGGTCCAGATGACTGGACCAGGTTTATCTGGTCCCACCCAAGCCACATAATACAAGGAAAGGATCAAAGGATACATTCAAGTGGATTTTCTAGAATAGAGCTAACCACAGGGCTCAAAATCCAACAGAGACTCTGTTTACTAAGGTGATAGGAAGGAGCAGGCAAAGAGTCATTAGCATCAAGGATACCTTCGGTAAGGCTTATTCTCCAAAGTTGGAGCTTGCTGACAGAGTGGATCAAATGGTACAGCACCACCTGTCTAGCAAACATGAGTCCCTGAGTTCAAACCCCAGTACTGCCAAAAAAAAAAAAATACATGTATACGTACATAAAGTTGGAGCTTTGGTAGGAAGTATTTTTGTTGAACTTAGCTCCCCAGGGGTAATGACAATTAAAAGATCATAGAATTGTCCTGGATAGAACAACTGGAATATAAGAGTTGCTGTGGCTCTAATTATGTGATGGACAGCAATATTAACAATGACATGGAGCAGAGTGGTGTGTTATCCACAGGGATTTATGGATAAGGTAAGAGAACTTGGTGTTCTTCATAAATGGATGAAGGCAGCCAAAACTGATAGAGCTATAACTATATATATATATATATATATATATATATATATATATATATCATATGCATGTTCAAAGGGCTTGACAATGAATAAGCATGGGGCTAGATGTGTTATTCCAATGATAAGCTATGATTCCCTCCTCTATGTTACAATCCTGACACAGTTCTCAGACCTATGATACATTGACCAAAAACCAGGCCAGTCCTCCTGGTTAAAGGACCACACACAGTGTATATAGTTTTAATCTCTTCAGTTCTCTCTGAAGGTACCTATTGCCCTTCTATTCATAGGAAAGTAGAATATCCACATATTTGGAACCTTTTGGATAGAGATCACAGGACACTGTTAAATGGACATGAAAATGCCAACATATTAGAATCAGGCAGAGAGAGTCAGAAAATAAATATAAGCAGCCCAGGTCAGTCTTACAGATGTCTACTGTGTTAAGAGACATACCTGATGGTCATTTACCCAGTTCACAAATGTAAAACTCAGCACATTCCTTCCTTGAGCTAAGGAGATAAGAACTATTATAAGAGAAAAGGCCAAGTGAATCCTCCAGCACTGGCTACCCCTCATCACCATTTCAGGGTAAATTAGCAAACAAAAACCAGAGATTAGAGCCTCCTTCAAAGACAAAAAATCCAAGGAAGGTGAATCCCATCATATTTACATAGGATTCCCTAGTGCAAGCCCAACAAAACACAGATGGATCATAACAGATTACACGGGATGATCACAAGACCTATGAATAGCAACTCATGAGATGGATGTAGAATCTTGACTAGAGCAGAATGGTATTGGATGTAGGACCTGAACTAGCAATGGAGATTTCAAAGCACTCAAGAAAAGAGAGGCAGAGATGAATCTAGACCATACAGAAACATCAACTCTATAAAATCACTGTCTTGACACAGGACTGGTTCATCCTCCTTCCCTCTGTCACAATGCAGTCCAAAGAGATGTAAACTTTCTGGATATCCTACAAATATCATAAAAATTCATGATAATGAGGATATCCTGTTGGAAAGATCTGATGAAAAAGAAACTTTTTGGAGGTACTTGGTTTTGAACTCAGGGTCTTGCCTTTGCTAGCCAAGTGTTCTACCATTTGAGCCAAGCCACCAGACATTTTCTTGCTTTTCATTACTTCTTCAGGTGACAAAATGTCACATGAGATATCTTTTGCAGGAACTAAAGCAAGAAAGATCCTTAGGAGGTGCTTCTGCAAGAGCTGACAGATGATCCTAATGCATCAAGAAAAGGAAATTATGCTTTCCAGCCACCTTCAAAATTTAAGCAGGAAAGTATTTAAGTTGCCTAATTTGATAATCACTTATTTACTAACATAGTAACAAGGAAAGAATGCTGCACATGAAAACAGCAGTCCCTCAGCAGGGTATAAAAGGGCATCAGGGGTAGGCACACTTCAAAATTTCCCAACCACCTTCTTGGAAATCCACCCAGAACCTCCATCCTCTGACACCATGGTCAACTCCTGTTGTGGCTCCATCTGCTCTGAGCAGGGCTGTGGCCAAGGCTGCTGCCAGCCCAGCTGCTGCAGGACCACCTGCTGCCGCCCCAGCTGCTGTGTGTCCAGCTGCTGCAGGCCCTGCTGCCAGTCTGTGTGCTGCCAGCCCTCCTGGCGCCCCAGTTGCTGTGTGTCCAGCTGCTGCAGGCCCTGCTGCCAGTCTGTGTGCTGCCAGCCCTCCTGGCGCCTGTGTGGCTGCCGCCCTAGCTGCTGTGTGTCCAGCTGCTGCAGGCCTTGCTGCCAGTCTGTGTGCTGCCAGCCCTGCTGCCACCCAAGCTGCTGCAGTGGTTCTTGCTGTTGAGCGCTCTCACCTGCACGCTCCTGGTCTCTATCAGTCAACATTCTTCATGTAGACTAAACTGTATCATGAGAGCCCAATTATAAAACCTAGCTCCCATTGAGATGGGTTTGGGTCTTTAAATATACTGCTCCCTCTCCTGCCAAGTTGCTATCTTTTCTGGAATGAATATAAGTTTGAATTTTCTGTGAAATCTGTGAACTATCACATTACCCCCATGAAAATACTTGATTTCTGTCATATATTCTCCAATGCTGTTATTCCTATACCTTAAATAAATCTGAATTTTGCAGGTATTTTTTCCTTCTTGATTTGTTGTCCACATCTATCATTTTTTGATAGCTTATCTCTAAACAAAGAAAAGATGATTTCAACTCTTCCAGTTCTATTCCCTCAACTCTCCTCATTCTAATACAGAAAAATGGCTTCATAGATCCAGCACTTGAATTTCTGAGCTGAGGGTTTACTTTGAAAAGAAAACTGCAGGCAGGAGAGGCTAATCTAGGGGCATAGCTCAACCAGTGAAGGCAGCCAGTGAACATGTGCTCCAGCTCACCTCATCTCACTAAATGTATATCGTTCTAGTGTTTCTGGTGTCCTCAGGGTGATTAAATCCCAGCTCTAATCCAAGGGCTTTGTTTTGTTCTTTATGTTACCCTGTAGTCTGCCTAGATCATTTTCCATGTTCCCTACAGCTCTTCCTGGCATCCATTCTCAAAGTTCTTTTTCTCAGCCTCCATATTGAGTCTTCAATACAGGTTACACCCATGTTTCTTATCTCAGTGTCACTGCCCTTTCATTCATTTTGAATACTTATTGATGGTTGGAATGGTATTAGGTAATTCTTGGGTGTGCTGTCTACTGAAGTAGTAAATCTGCAGAACAGGTTGCTGTATCTTCCTTCCAATTTTTGCACATTTGTGGCTAGATTAGTTGTCTTCAATATTTTTGTTGTGTTTTTAAAATGTGTGTATATCTAGAGCTTGGGAAAAGGGGCCTTAGAACTCAATATCATACTAAAGATATAATGCTTAAGATAGTGCTTACCAAAGCCCTTGGTGGAGGAGATTTTGTGAGGTGTGCATCAATTTAAGCTGTGACCTATGGGAAATTGTGTGGAAGAAGAAATATACCTAAAGTGTGTGCTACAGAATAGGAGATAGCATGCTAAGTTGTGTGTGGGGTGGGGGTAGAGGTGGGAGGGGGATGGATTAACTAAAAGATGAACCTGAAACAGGGATTCTTATACAAGTTATTTGTAAGGAAACAATATGTGTTTGTGCGGGGATACTGTAAGATACTGAAGAAAGGATGGCGACAGGTAGAAACAGCAGAACTAAAGTAAAATTCAATAAATTCTACTTCGTCTGACTAACAGCTCTAGAATGTGAGCAGGAGGTAGGTGGTTGCTACTCATATAACACCAGCTGTGGGATGTCAAGGTTGGAAGGAAAAGTGCAGATTGGGCAGATCTGTCTAAAGGAAGTGGCACCTGTACCTGATGACAATGAGAAACTAAAGCAGATACCTTAAAGCAACTGAGGCCAATAGGAAAAGGGGACCAGGAACTAGAGAAAAGGTTAGATCAAAAAGAATTAACCTAGAAGGTAACACACACGCACAGGAAATCAATGTGAGTCAATGCCCTGTATAGCTATCCTTATCTCAACCAGCAAAAACCCTTGTCCCTTCCTGTTATTGCTTATACTCTCTCTACAACAAAATTAGAAATAAGGGCAAAATAGTTTCTGCTGGGTATTGAGGGGAGGGGAGAGGGAGGGGGTGGAGTGGGTGGTAAGGGAGGGGGTGGGGGCAGGGGGGAGAAATGAACCAAGCCTTGTATGCACATATGAATAATAAAAGAAAAATGAAAAAAAAAAAGAATGGAGCAGGTAAACATGTGAGCCACCTGCCTGGTGCACTCACATTAGCTTGGTGATGGGGACATTTAAAATAAAAATATCTGGGTTATATATTGTACAACCTGCTCACTTTGTAATTCCACTTTTTTTTCTTATTCAGGTCACTGCCACGGGATGGTCACAATGTTTAGAGAAACAAAGGAGTGTTGGTGGCAAAACTTCTGCTGGTCTAGGAGACTTGCCTAGTAGAGTTACATGGTTCTTTTCCTGAGAATTCAGACCCATGGTTAATATGTACTTATTGTCTATAACTGTTATACTTGCCCATTCACATTAAAAATGGAACTAAAAACACCAGGACTGCCTCCAGGAATCCCCTGCCCCCAGTGTGCAGCAGTTCCTCATGACAATGAGGGAAGATTTCTTAGGAATAGCTCCTTATTTTCCTTGCTTGTCCAATGGCAAGAGAATCCCAGAGCAATTAGGTGACAATCTAACATTGATTATAGTGTGAGCTTTATAATGTCCTATGGAGTCTTCTTACCTGTGCAAAGACCTATACTTCCACAGTGCATAAATTTATGTTGAGAAAGCAAGTGTCCCCCAAATGGATCACTGGGAATGTTTTTGAGTAGGCATTTTCTCTTTTGACATCTTGGTTTTCTGTGATAATGTATTCTAACTATTAAGAACACAGCCCCAATGATAGTCATTGGTTTATGTTGTATACTGTATCCTGAAGGACAGTGTTCTATCCTGATAGATTGTCATCTTCAAGCTGTCACCTTAACCACAGCTTAAGATGTGGGTAGCATCATATTCTGAGCTCACTGGTGTTTGGTTGGATCAGTATAAAGTAGAAATGGTGGACCCAACATTTCTGTACTTGTGGTTCTATATCCTTTGATGTATTGGTGTCTCTTGATATCATGGTGTGAATTCAAATGCTCTGAAACTCCCATATAATGGCATTGATTGAAGTGCTAGTGGCAGAAAAATCACACCCTTATCCATCTAAATGTGAACCTCAGTTAGAAATAAGCAACTGGCTGATATCCTCAAGGGATGGTACCTTACTAGGGATTCTGATTTGGTCTCTTGCAGGAAAGTCAGGTATCAGCAGATGACATCTTGGTGGCTGGACTCTGGAACATAGTGCTAGTGTGGCAACCCAGGGATTCTTTGTCAGATTGTTCTCCCATCTTCCCAGCATGGGAAGCCATGCTGCTTTTTCATGTCCACTGGTCAATGTCAACTCTGATCTGCTATTGAACAACACCCAAATACATGGTTCTTCTACTTTCCCCTGAATAGATGGCTGTAAGTACCTTTAAGAAAAAAATTGAATAAGTTGCTACTAGATATACTGGCTGTGGTTCTTTAACATGGAAGACTAGCTTATTTTTCAGTGATGTGCCATAACCCTTAGAACTATAACTGTATTGGAATCTGGAGGAAAGATCATGTCTTTCCATTTGAATGACACTTCTCAGCCCCTTTCTTATAACTCTTCAGCCCTTTTAAGTGTACATATGTATATACGAATGCTTTCATATAAAAATGTGTATGAATGTATGCATGTGTATCGTTCCACACATTTATGGCTATAGCCATCATTTTGACTGCCTACATTGTCATGAGAAACTCCAAGCTTTCTTTTCATACGTGTGGAGATCTCTGTGAATTACACAACACTGTGCCCTGGTTGCCATTCCTGACTTGCTGCCCATTACATAATTATATCCACATGAATTCCTGAAGATGTATGGTTCCACCTGGGCTGTTTTTCTGTGACCTTGTCCCAATTTCTCCCGAGGAGCCAAGTTCTATAACAGAGCTTCCTACCGAAGCTCTTACTTTGGAGCTTAGGTATCACTGAATTGTGTTTTCCTTTTTTTTTTTTTTGTGGGACTAGGGTTTGAACTCAGGACTTCACTCTTGCAAAGTAATTGGTCTACCACTTGAGCCACACCTCCAGTTCATTTTTCTATGATTATTTTGGAAGTGGAGTTTTGCAAATTATTTGCCTATGATGACCTTGAACTATGAACTATGAACCTCCCATCTCCACTTCTCAAGTAGCTAGTACCAGTGCCTGGCTTCATTATTATTTTTTCAGATAGCACCTCATCTGTGCAGGCCGCATACCACAGTCCTTCTACTTACATGTCCCACCCAGCAGAGATTACAGGTGCATTCCAAGAAATTTAATAGTATGGATAACTCTGCAAAATACATGTACTCCAGAACACGGGAGATAAATCTGACAAATATTCAGGGGTTGCCACTTAGTATTATGATTAAAGTATTATGATTAGAGAATACCAGGACGTCCTCTGCTGAATACCTAACATGCCAGCAAGAAAGCAATGTGGAGGCCCTAGTAAGGTAGTATCCCTTGAGAACACCAGCCAGTACTTTGCTTCTAACTGGTGTTCACATTTAGTTGGACAGGGTCTGAATTTTCAATCTGTTGCTCCTTAGCATAATTACACTGGGGCCACATATTTGAAATAGTACCATAGAATCCAAAATAGCTGCATCTGGGAATCACAGACCCAATTACATCAAAGAATGTGGGACAATGAACATATTACCACAGGATCCATTATTTCTACTTCATGCAGCATCATCAAGAAACTGGTGATCTGATAATGTGATGCCTTCACCTCTTGAAACTGTGGCTGAAGTGAAAGCTTGGAGATGACACTTTATAAGGATGGATCACTGCCTTTCAGGATGCAGTATATAACTTAAGCCAATGAGCCTTATGTTGGGGATGTGTCCTAGTAGTCAGAATACATTAATACAGAAAATCAAGTTGTCAAAGATGAACTGCCTTGGTCAACTATGGTCCAGAGATGCACTTGAGAATATGTGTGCTTTCTTCACTTAAATTCAGGCTCTGAGGAAGTTAGGTCATGGCTCCAGCAAGTTAGAGAGACAAGAAGACATTGTAAGGGTCCTTTTAGAATGAAAGTTTTCATCGTCATCTTATCCCCTCTGGGATTCTCATTCCAGAGGACAAGCAGACATGAAAGTAGGTATTACCAAGACCCTGACCTCTTTGTCATGAGGAAGTAGGAGCACTGCTCACCATGAGGGTAGAAAGGAAGACATTTCGCATCATGAGATCCACTGGGGAAGTCCTGGCTTTTTAATTCCATTTTCCACTGTGAATGCACAAGTTCAACAACTATAGTCCAATAAGGACATAGTAACCAAGAGCTCAGATCTCTAAGAATTTGACCTATGTTCCTAGGCCAGCAGACTTGTGGCTACTGATGCCCCTAAGATAACTTTCTGTAATAATTTTGACTAACTAGATGGAGTAAATAAGAAAAATAAGTGGGTGGGTCAATCATCTACCCAGGTATCTTCTGCCCTCTCTTCCATACTGGCATTGGCATGAGTACACAATACAGGTGGTTTACACTGTTCACCTGTCCTCAGCTATTGGTGCCACTTCCTCTGCATATTTTTGATTTATCTGCACCCCACCCTATCTTCATGTCCTGGATGGTCACACCTAGTGATCACTGAGTAGTAGTTATGAGAGGAAGGGTTGCTGTGCCACCCATGCTTTAGAACATTGCAGTGTCTTAGATGAGGAAGAATTCACTGAAACCACATTTTGGCTTGGCTGTTCTACTATCCTATCTTCTTTGTGCATTGTACTACAGATTTCATCCCAGAGCATTTCCTCATAAATCACTTGTATGAGAATCCCTGTTTCAGAGCTTACTTTTAGTGCATCCAACATGTATCCCCCACAGAACTTAACTTACTAACCCCATGAACTGAATTTCATGTAACATACAGATTAGGGATTTTATCTCCTTACACACAGCCTCCTCTAGCCCACAGCATTAGTTGGCGCACTTTAATACAACCTTCTCCACTGACTCCTTGAGCCATACTCCTTTAAATACAGTATCCTTTAACATAACAGGCCTTTACCATGGGTTTTTTTCCAATGTGTAGATATATTGGTATTAAAATCAAAGCCCTGAGTTCAATCAACTCAAAACAAAACAAAACAACATCATCAAAATACCCCCAAACAAATAAAAAACCCAAATGAATAACACTGCTTTATAAAATTTATTTTGGCTCAATATTGTTTTGGTTCTTCAGGGTCTTTTTGCTTCCATATGAATTTTAGGAGTGTGTGTTTTTTTTTTGAAAGATCTTTACTCAAAATGAACCAGTAAAAATGGAAGCACGGCCAAATTTGTCTCCCCATTGGCCAGTGGAGAGGCTTTGGAAGGCTTCTAAGAGATGATGGGTTGATAAAGTCTTGGGTTTTGATTGGACTCCTTTGCATCCTTCAGCACTTTGCTGTTTTAATCCTATACTGTAATTTCCATGGTAGAAGTATTTTTTTAATTCTGTGAAGAATATCATTGGAATTTCTATAGGTATTGAATTTAATATGTAGATGGATTTTGGTAATATGGCCATTTTCACAAAATTAATTCTGCCGACTCATGAGTATGGGATATATTTCCACTGTCTAATGTTTTTCTCAATTTCTTTCTTCTGTTTTATAATTTATACTTTAGAGGTTTTTCATATCCTCAGTTAGGTTTATTCTTAGGTATTTTATTTTGGAGACAGATGCAATTGTGAATGGGCTTTTTTCCTGTTTTTTTTAAATCTCATTGACTGTGTTATTGGAAATATTACAAGACCACCTAAATTATACTACAGAGCATAGTAACAAGAACAGCATGGCAGCCTGGGGATGTGGCTGAAGTGGTAGAGCACTTGCCTAGCTAGTTTAAGCCTTGTGTTCAATCCCCAGAATCACAAATAAACAAATAAATAAGTAAATAAACATTTAAAAGCCCAGCATGATACTGGCACAATACAGATACATACAACAAGGGAATAAAAGAGGACTCAGAAATATGCCCATACAGTTACAGCCATCCATATTATATGAAAAAATGTGTGGAAGGGATGTAACACTGAGATTAGGAACATGAATGTCTTAGGCTGCAGGCACTGTGAGGCAGATCCACTCACAGAAGGTTGAGATAAAGCAGTTTACTTAGGAAACGATACCAGGAAGCATTGTAGGGAACTTAAGAAATGATCCAGGGCAGGGGTGAACCACTACAGACACCATAATGAACAGAACACCCCTGCTGGCAGCCAGGCACCATTTCCACTGAGGATCTCTCAGACACTGGGTTGAATTAATGTCCACCCAAGTAGAGGTAAGTAGATGAACACTTGTTTATCTTGCTTTCACTGGCTGAACTCTGTTTCTAGAGGCTTAACTCTCCTGCCTTCACCATGCTCTTCTGCCAGAGGAAGTTCACAGCAGTGAGTACCAGGAGCTGGTACAAGAACAAGGAGACTAGAACAAGGAGAACAGAAGGAACAGAGCTGGAACACCTGAAATCCCTAGCTATGGTCTTTTCATTGTTTATATATGAGCTACAAAATGTTGACAGATGAGAATAATAATTGAAGAGGAAGAACAAGAAGACATGATGCCTTATGTCTGCAAAATTCAGATTTATTTATGATGTAGGAATAACAGCATTAAAGAAACTATAACAGAGAACAAGCATTTCCTTGGGGGTGTTATATGATAGTTGACAGATTTCAGAGAAAATTCAAACTTGTGTGCATTTTGGATAGAGATTTAAAAAAACTTGGCAAGAGAGGGGGCTGTATATTTGGAGGCCCAAATCAATCTCAAGTGGAACTGAGGTTTTCCAGTCAGCCCCTCATGACGCAGTTCAGTGATGGTCTATATGAAGAATGTTGGATGATGGGGACCAGGAGCGTGCAGGTGAGAGCGCTCAGCAGCAAGAACCACTGCAGCAGGGGCGGCAGCAGGGCTGGCAGCACACAGACTGGCAGCAGGGTCTGCAGCATCTGGACACACAGCAGCTGTGGTGGCAGCAGGTGGTCCTGCAGTGGGTGGTCTGGCAGCAGCTGGGGTGGCAGCAGCCTTGGCCACAGCCCTGCTCAGAGTTGATCACGGTGTCAGAGGATGGAGGTTCTGGGTGGGTTTCCAAGAAGGTGGATTAGAAAGTTTGGAAGTCTCCCTCTCCATGATCCCCCTTTATACCTTGCCAAGGGTCTGCTGTCATCACAGACAGCATTCTTTCCTTGTTATTGTGTTAGTGAATAAGTGATTATCAAATTGGAGAAGTTAAATTTTTTTCTGCTTAGATTTTGAAGGGGTATGGAAACCGTAATTTCCTTTTCCTGATGCATTAGGATCATATGTCAGTTCTTGCAGAAGCACCTCCTGAGTGTCTTTCTTGCTTTAGTTCTTCAGAGAGTTCCCACAAGACATTCTGTGCCTCAGTATGTGTGCTTCAGTCATTGCACATACAACATCTTGTGTGCCCTTGAGTAATCACGATTCCGTAGACCCATGATTATTTCTGGTGACTCAGTAAGGAAAAGCAAGTTGCATTTGTGTCTGGTGATTCACTCATGATGGATCAGGTCGAAAAAGGAGGTTTCAGTGTGAAGATCACTGGCGTGAGAACAGGAAGCCCACTAGAGCATGATCCTTTCCCACTGTCACCACGCTCCGCTTTCTAGTTTCTTGGGACAAACAGGACTGCTTCAGTGTGGAAACTGAATGGTGAAATGTCATTTCCTTTCCTTCCTTCCTTTCTTCCTTCCTTCCTTCCTTCCTTCCTTCCTTCCTTCCTTCCTTCCCTTCCCTCCCTCCCTCCCTCCCTCCCTCCCTCCCTCCTTCCTTCCTTCCCTCCTTCCTTCTTGTGCCAGTAACAAACCTTTACAACTCATTTTAGGATCTTTTGGCAGAACGAAGCCAAGGGTTCAGCTATATCATAAATTTCAAATCCCTCAGTTTTGCACTGTGGGCTTATTTTCCTTCTAGTTTTGTCATCCTTCCTTCCTGGCTTTAATAGGACATGTAGACTCATGTCCTCTTTCCTTAGATTAATTTACCAATCCAAGTTATATGACTCAGTTGTTGTTGCCTCTTTATACCCTACCTTCTTGTTCTCTGTTCTGCTTCTGAACCCTATGGATGTACAAGGTACTCCTTCCTCATTGTTCAAGTGGTTGATTAGATCTCTGCCTTTGTGTCTGTGTAACTGCCTATACTTGATCAACTTACCTCTGACCAACAGCATATGTCAACATTCATTGTTTAAGTGACAAAGATTGTGACTTTCCTCTTGGTAGCCAACTCTCTCTTGCAGGCTCTCCTTCTGTCCATGGCTTTGATTAATCCAGCTGCTATTTAGAAGATATCCATGTGGCAACATAGCTGAACCTGAACACAGCCTCCATTCAACAGTCAACAGGCTCCGAGACTCTTACTTCAATATCAAGGAACCAAATACTCTTAGCAGTCACAGAGGCAAACCCTTCTATGATGTCCTCTCACATGAGACCCCAGTGCCAACCAGCACCTTCATTACAGCTTTGTGAAACACTTCAAAGTAGAAAATGTGGCCAAGCTGTACCCGACTCCTGATCCACAGAATCTGGGGGATAAGAAACTGTGGCATTTTAAACTTTAATGTTTCAAGGTAATGTAACATAACAATAGATAACTAGTCTAGATTTATCTGTTCCCATACAACTCATAAAAGGGGAAGAAATGATCAAAGGATACAAGAAATGGATGTGCTAAAACAGATCTAACATAAGGCCTGAAAAACCAAAAGGCTGACTCTGCTGTCTGAGTGTCCAAGGAGATACTCTGCTTACTAATTTGCTAAGAAAGAAGTAAGCAAGGGGTCACCAGCATTACGAAGAAATTCAGTGATCCTTAGCTTCTAAAATCAGAGCTTTGGTAGGAAGCATGGTTGCAAAACATAGCTCTTGTGGTGTAATGGTTATAATAAGATCACACAATGGAAGATCCCTGGTGGACCATTTAGTTCTAAAAATTGCTGTGGGTATGATTATATGATGTGCAATGGGTTAGAAATGGCAGTTGGGCTGAGCAGTGTGTATCTCACATGGGTATATGGATCTTGCTAAGAGAACTTGGCGTTCCTCACAATAGGATGAGGCAATGTAGATGAGTTCAGTCATAACTGTAGTCTCTATGTATATATGTATGTGACATATATATATATGCACATATACACCATGTATATGTGATATATATGTGATATATATATATATCATGACATATCTGTATGCGAGTTTATATGCATGTACACATGAATTTCTTAAAGAATGTAAGAGTAAGTGAGTTAAGGTTTGATATCTGTTGCAATAAACACATACGCAAAGCTGTAATGAAGGTGCTGGTTGGCACTGGGGTCTCACGTGAGGGGACATCATAGAAGGGTTCACCTCTGTGACTGCTAAGAGTATTTGGTTCCTTGATATTGAAGTAAGAGTCTCGGAGCCTGTTGACTGTTAAATGGAGGTTGTGTTCAGGTTCAGCTATGTTGCCACATGGATATCTTCTAAATAGCAACTGGATTAATCGAAGCCATGGAGAAAGGGAAAAATTATTGAAAATCATAATTCTTCCCTATGGTGATTGTTCTTATCCTGTTCTCAACCTATGAGCAGCAATTGAAAAAGTGGATGGTCCTCCAAGAGAGAGGACCTCAGACGCATGTATAACAATAGCCCCACATTCTAATGGCAATCTACTTAGGGAGAAGGGGATTATCCATATATTTGGATACTGTTGTACAGCAGCTTAAAGTTGAAACTAATCATTGAATACAAAATGCCACATGACACCAATTATCATCTGACAGAGATGGTTAGAAATAAATAGAGTGTACAACCAGCAAAAACCCTTGTTCCTTCCTATTATTGCTTATACTCTCTCTTCAACAAAATTAGAGATAAGGGCAAAATAGTTTCTGCTGGGTATCGAGGGGTAGGGGGAGAGGGAGGGGGCGGATGAGTGGTAAGGGAGGGGGGGGGCAGGGGGGAGAAATGACCCAAGCCTTGTATGCACATATGAATAATAACACAATAAAAAAAAATAAAAAAGAAAGAAAGAAATGGAGTGTTGAACCCTCTCAAACACTGGTGTGACACCCTCTCACAATCAATGGAAAGTGAACCAAAGCATTTGTTCACCAAGTCCCTTTCATTGGTTGAGCTCTGCTCCTAGGGGGCTTACTCTACTGCGGAGAGCTTGGTCTTCAACCAGAGAAAGTCCACAGGCAGATCCAAGTGGTGGCTTTAAGACTCTGTCTTCCTCTTTTAGAGTGGAGTCCTGTGGGAACAAAGCTAGTAATTCAAGAAGGAAAAATAAGGAGACATGAAGCATTTATATTTATATGACTGCAAATCAGATTTATTTAAGATGTAGAAATAACAGCGTCAGAGACAAAATGAACATGAACAAATATTTCCATGGGGGTAATATGATAGTTGACAGATTTCAGAGAAGATTCACACTTGCATTCATTTTGGACGGAGATAAAATCTGGCAGGAGAGGGAGCAGTATATTTGGAAACACAAATCAGTCTCATTGGGAACTGAGGTTTTACAATCGATCCCTTATGATTCAGCTCACAGATGGTCTACATGAAGAATGTTGGCTGATGGAGACCAGGAGTGTGCAGGTGAGAGCGCTCAGCAGCAAGAACCACTGCAGCAGGTGGGCCGGCAGCAAGTGGACACACAGCAGATAGGGCGACAGCAGGGCGTGCTGCAGCTGGACACACAGCAGCTGGGGCGACAGCAAGGCCTGCAGCAGCTGGACACACAGCAGTTGGGGCGGCAGCAGCTAGGCTGGCAACAGATGGACACACAGCAGCTGGGGCGACAGCAGGGCCTGCAGCAGCTGGACACACAGAAGCTGGGGCGGCAGCAGGGCCTGCAACAGCTGGACACACAGCAGCTGGGGCGGCAGCAGGTGGTCCTGCAGCAGGTGGTCCTGCAGCAGGTGGTCTGGCAGCAGCTGGGCTGACAGCAGCCTTGGCCACAGCTCTGCTCAGAGCAGATGGATCCACAACAGGAGTTGACCATGGTGTCAGAGGATGGAGGTTATGAGTGGGTTTCCAAGAAGATGGGTTGGTAAGTTTGAAGTCTCCCTGCCCCCGATGCCCTTTTATACCCTGCTGAGGAGCTACTCTGGTCACATGCAACATTCTTTCCTTGTTATTATGTTAGCAAATAAGTGATTGTCAAATTAGGCAACTTAAATATTTTCCTGCTTAAATTTTGAAGGTGTATGGAAAACATAATTTCCTTCTCCTGATGCATTAGGATTCATCTGTCAGCTCTTGCAGAAGCACCTCCTAAGTGTCTTTCTTGCTTTAGTTCCTCAAAGAGACCTGTCACAGGACATTCTGTGACTAGGTACTGGATGCTTCAGACTCATTTTGTGTAGCACCTCATGTCCACCTTACAGTAGACATGATTCTTGTGGGCCCGCAATTATTTCTGGTGATCCAGGAGGATAAAACTTCACTTGAACCTGATGGCTCATTCATAATTGGTCATGTGGGCAAAGAAGGTGTGTGCGAAAGACCAATGGTATGAGAACAGGAAGATTTTTAGTACTTTTCCCACTGTGAATCATGATCTACTTTCTAGGTTTTTGTTTTTTTTTTTAATGAGAAACACAGGACTATTTCAAGGTGAAACACTTAATAGTGATTTTTTTATTTTGCCAAGAAAGAAATCTCTAAAACTCCTTTTTTTTAATTATTCATATGTGCATACAAGGCTTGGGTCATTTCTCCCCCCTGCCTCCACCCCCTCCCTTACCACCCACTCCACCCCCCTCCCTATCCCCCACCCCCTCAATACCCAGCAGAAACTATTTTGCCCTTATTTCTAATTTTGTTGTAGAGAGAGTATAAGCAATAATAGGAAGGAACAAGGGTTTTTGCTGGTTGAGATAATGATAGCTATACAGTGAGTTGACTCACATTAATTTCCTGTGCCTGTGTGTTACCTTCTAGGTTAATTCTTTTTGATCTCACCTTTTCTCTAGTTCCTGGTCCCCTTTTCCTATTGGCCTCAGTTGCTTTTAAGGTATCTGCTTTAGTTTCTCTGCGTTAAGGGCAACAAATGCTAGCTAATTTTTTAGGTGTCTTACTTATCCTCACCCCTCCCTTGTGTGTTCTCGCTTTTATCATGTGATCAAAGTCCAATCCCATTGTTGTGTTTGCCCTTGATCTAATGTCCACATATGAGGGAGAACATATGGTTTTTGGTCTTTTGGGCCAGGCTAACCTCACTCAGAATGATGTTCTCCAATTCCATCCATTTACCAGCGAATGATAACATTTCGTTGTTCTTCATGGCTGCATAAAATTCCATTGTGTATAGATACCACATTTTCTTAATCCATTCGTCAGTATTGGGTCATCTTGGCTGTTTCCATAACTTGGCTGTTGTGAATAGTGCTGCACTAAACATGGGGTGCAGGTGCCTTTGGAGTAACCTGTGTCACAATCTTTTGGGTATATCCCCAAGAGTGGTATTGCTGGATCAAATGGTAGATCAATGTCTAACTTTTTAAGTAACCTCCAAATTCTTTTTCCAGAGTGGTTTTACTAGTTTACATTCCCACCAATAGTGTAAGAGTGTTCCTTTTTCCCCGCATCCTCACCAACACCTGTTGGTGGTGGTGTTGCTAATGATGGCTATTCTAACAGGGGTGAGGTGGAATCTTAGTGTGGTTTTAATTTGCATTTCCTTTATTGCTAGAGATGCTGAGCATTTTTTCATGTGTTTTTTGGCCATTTGAATTTCTTCTTTTGAGAAAGTTCTGTTTAGTTCACTTGCCCATTTCTTTATTGGTTCATTAGTTTTGGGAGAATTTAGTTTTTTAAGTTCCCTATATATTCTGGTTATCAGTCCTTTGTCTGATGTATAGTTGGCAAATATTTTCTCCCACTCTGTGGGTGTTCTCTTCAGTTTAGAGAGCATTTCTTTTGATGAACAGAAGCTTTTTAGTTTTATGAGGTCCCATTTATCTATGCTATCTCTTAGTTGCTGTGCTTCTGGGGTTTCGTTGAGAAAGTTCTTACCTATACCTACTAACTCCAGAGTATTTCCTACTCTTTCTGTATCAACTTAGAGTTTGTGGTCTGATATTAAGATCCTTGATCCATTTGAGTTAATCTTGGTATAGGGATATACATGGATCTAGTTTCAGTTTTTGCAGACTGCTAACCAGTTTTCCCAGCAGTTTTTGTTGAAGACGCTGCTATTTCTCCATCATGTATTTTTAGCTCCTTTGTCAAAGACAAGTTGCTTATAGTTTGTGTGGCTTCATATCTGGGTCCTCTATTCTGTTCCACTGGTCTTCATGTCTGTTTTTGTGCCAGTACCATGCTGTTTTTATTGTTATTGCTTTGTAATATAGTTTGAAGTCAGGTATTGTGATACCTCCTGCATTGTTCTTTTGAGTGAGTATTGCCTTAGCTATTCGTGCCTCTTGTGTTTCCCATATAAATTTAACAGTAGATTTTTCAATCTCTTTAATGAATGTCATTGGAATTTTGATGGAATTGCATTAAACATGTAGATTACTTTTGTGGGAGTATAGACATTTTTACTATGTTGATTTCTACCAATTCCATGAGCATGGGAGATCTAAACTCCTTTTTAGGGTGCCTCAGGGAAAGTGGGTCTGTAAGTTTTAGTTAATAACCATAAAGTTGGGTCCCTCTATTCTGCGAGTTGTGGCAGTGAGGACTTAGTTTCCTTGTTTTTGACATCCTGTCTTCCTGAGTTTTTGTTTTTCTTTTTGTGGTGGTACTGACGATTTGAAACTGAAGAGCCTCATGCTTTTTAGGCCAATAAACTCTACTACTTGAGCTATGCCCCAGCCCACTTCTGGTTTTTTTAACGGATGTGGTAACTTCATGTCTCTTTTTCCAACAATGGTACTTGCAAGTCCAAGGTAGATGACCAAGTTGCTGCAAATCTTATTTTAAAATTTAGATCAATTTTGGGTTTTTGTGGAGGTGCTGAGCCCTGTCAATGTACTAGACTGCCCTCTTCTTTTATTCCGTGATCTTCATTTTTCAAAAAATAAAATCCTTCAAAAAGATTAAAAGGAAAGCATGAGAGAAAAACAGATATCGACATTAATGAATATCAGCTCTTATTTATTTATGGTTGAACACA